TTGTTTTCTTCCTTTCTTTTCTCTCTTTATCCTGGGACCACATTTTGCCATTTAAATTTCTCAGTAGCAACCCACGGATGAACAGCACAAACCATGGATTAGCAGCACAGTGCGTTTTTGGTCCATTTAGCCCTGATGGAAATTATGTGAGAGAGGGAGTGGGAGATATAGCTTCAAGAATTGGAATTATTTATAAAAGTAAATTACTCATGCTCTTTCTGGTCCCAAAAAGCAGAGATTATCAGGATGTGTTTAACACCTGTTTCCTTACGCTGAGCTAGAAGCAATTTCAGGATAAAAATCTTTTATAGATTTTGTTTTTTCTTTTTCTTCAAATTAACATCTACCTTAAATTTTTAATCCTAAATAATTAGCAATAAAGCAAACATCTAAATTACTAATGGATTTAAAATTTTGTCTTTGATTAAAGTTGACAGATGTGAAATAAAAACCTTTCAACTTTGGAACACAATAGTTTAAAAAATTTATATACTTTTCACACCTACAAAAATAGAATGAGAAGTAATAGATACAATATATAAAAGGGCTGATACTACCGATTATTTTCATTCTTGGGAGGAAAAGTGTCCAGCATGAAATCTTTGCTTATAAAATCTTACTGTGAGACTTCATTACAAGCATGGTTGTTATGACAAAATCTTAACAGTAACTTTCTAAAGTGAATACGGGTCAAACAACCTCATTCTAGTCTGTTTGCTAATCCACGCAGTGTGGTGCATAAGCTAAATATCATGATCTATTCCATCTTTAACTTTTATGATCTTTATACTTATTTATTAAGTGAATAATTCTTGAGATTAGGCATTAATACGTCTTGGACTCTAAAGAGATGCACTCAGCAGTTTACAACCTACGAGAAAAACTAAGATGTATTCAGCTACTATTATTATGAACTATTTTTTGATGCCTTATGAAAGGGGGATAGGAGAAAAGGATCCATAGAGGTAGACTTTTGAGTAGAACCCTGAAAGATGGGTACACTGTTGGTAGGAATGAAATAGAGTGACTGTTCCACAACGACAAGAGAGCTGAGCAAAAACACAAAGAAGAAAGCTGTGTTCAGGAGAGGCAACTGCTGCACATTGGGTGGAATGTAGCATTTATAAAGGCATTAGTTTAAGACAGTCTGGAACTTCACAAAGCTGGCAACTAGAGGGCTTAGAATGCAAAATCGTTTAAATAGGGTAGTCATGTGCACTAGGATCAATACACAGAATGGAGCAAGAATGAGCCTTGAGCTTTAAGAGAACTTTAGAAGATGCTTAATCACCATCAAGTAACAAAGTTCATCCTATAAACCACATAAGAAAAGCCGTCTTGTAAAGGAAAACATGTAAATCCTCAACCCAATGAAGAAAACTCTGGTCCTTAACCGGTGGTAAGAAAAGGAACAGCTTATGCCTACCATTGTCATACATTTAGGGATTAGTAACCATACTATCTCACTAGATTGTTAGAGATGAGCTCTAGGAGTAACCCTTAATCTTTGTTCTGTACTAGGGATTTAAATTTCTCTCTCCTTGCTCCTACCCATGCATGACAAGCATGGAGAGAATCTTGTCCAAGCAAGGCAGAAAGTGAGTATTATCTCAGCTCCAGGTACAAATCCAGGAGTATACCTAATTCAGTCGGTTACATTACAATGGCTAAGAGTATGGGTTCTTTAGCTAGACAGTCCTGAGTTTAAATCCTGCCCCTCACCCCCACTTTCTAGCCGTATTATTCAAGTTTCCCACCTAGAGTTGAGAATAAATACGTAGTTTGAAAACGGAGTAGCATTAGATAATGTGGATATTCTTTCTTGATACTAACAACAAAATGTGACAAGTGATAGCTTTGTAAAAGTTAGCTGCAATGTGGAATCTGAAACCCTATCAAAGTTCTTGTCCTCTGTAACATTAAAATCCAATGGTCTTGGGGCTGGCCCCGTGGCCGAGTGGTTAAGTTTGCGCGCTCCGCTGCAGGCGGCCCAGTGTTTCATTGGTTCGAATCCTGGGTGCGGACATGGCACTGCTCATCAAACCATGCTGAGGCAGCGTCCCACATGCCACAACTAGAAGAACCCACAACGAGAAATACACAACTATGTACTGGGGGGCTTTGGGGAGAAAAAGGAAAAAATAAAAATCTTTAAAAAAAAAAAAAATCCAATGGTCTTTTCCGTACTTAGAATGGCTATTTTACCCATGTGTGATCTTGTAACATCACACATTGGTCACTGGAAAATACCACCCACTGAGTTATGGAGATCTTCAAAATGTTAACATATTTCATAATATCAAAAAAAATCCCATTTGTTAATATTACTACCAATGTTATCAGAAAAGTCTTTAAGTACTGAGAGGATGTCAAGTTCACAATGACAAATGTAAGCTTGCAAAAACTCCAGTTTTCATTTGAAAGCTACAATTTTATTATTTGCAACAAATATGTCAGGTTCACATGACAGGCTCACTTTGTTCATTTTTGAGAAATGTCTACCAAATACCATAAACTTAATAACTATAGTTTGTCTTAGTCATCTGTTTAGGTACAAATGGTATTCCATGAAAAAAGCAGTTACTTCAGACTCCAACTGAAATAACTGCATTTCTGCAAAATAAACATCATGTTTTGGTATGTAGCAAAACTGCTTCATACATAATTCCAATTTTAACATTAAGAATATTAAAGACATACTCAGGAGGTTGATATACAAAAAATCTAATTTTTACAGCTTCATCAGACATTCTTAAATGAAACTGCCATTTAAGAAAAATTCAAATGCATGGCAGTGACAAATGCAATCAGCACTCAGTACAATGTTGCACTGCCTTGATTTATGCTAAGGTGACAGCAGTTTTACCGCTCATTGCTTTTGCACCATTCATGCAAATATCAACATGTGAGTTACAAGTTCTTTATATATATTTTGCATGCAATTGTTAGCCCTTGCAAATAATTTCTCCTAATCTGTGGTTTGTCTTTTCACTTTCTTAACAGTGTCTTTTGAAGAGATGTTTTCAATTTAATTTTAATGTTCCATTTATCCTTTTTTTTCATTTATGGTTTGTATTTTTTGCATCCAAGGAAATCTTAGCCTAACCTAAGGTCACAAAGATTTTTCTCCTGTTTTCTTCTATAAGTGTTATAACTATTACTTTTAGGTCTATGACTTATTTTAGTTATTTTTTATGTATATTATGAATATACACAAAATATCTAGCTGTCAGAACCATCTGTTGAAAAAACAACTCGAAAATGGATTATTTTTTATAGATGCTAGATTCAATTTGCTAAGATTTTCAGGACTTTTGTTACTATGTTCATGAGGACTACTGTCCAGTAATTTTCACGTTTTGCAATATCTTTGTCAAGTTAGTATTACAACACTGGCCTCATTAAACAAGTTGGAAGTGTTCCCTCCCCCTTGAGTTCCTGGAAGACTTTGTGTAAGACTTGTGTTATTTCTTCCTTGAATGGTAAAATTTACAAGTGAAGCCGTGTGGGATTGGAGTTTTCTTTGTGGGCAGATATTTAATAATAACTTTAATTGCATTAATAGATGTGAGGCTATCTAGTTTTTGTCTATTCCTGTGTCCATTTTGGTGAGTTTTATTTTTCTAATAATTTTTCCACTTTGTCTAAGTTGTCTAACTTATTGGCATAAAAAGTCATAATTTTGTATCCTTTTAATTTAGGTAAAATCCATAGTAGTAACTTTCATTCCTGATATTATTGATCTGTAATTTCTCTGGTCTATTTGATTGGTCTAATTAGAGATAAAATGATTTTGTTGCTGTTTTGAGAACCAGGTGCTGGTGTCATTGATTTTCTCCGTTGTTTTTCTGTCTTATAAATTGGTGATTTCCACTCTTTATTATTTCCATCTTTCTATTTAATTTGGGTTTACTTTGTTCTCATTTATCTAGAATATAGATTAAAGTAGAACCTTACACCATTGAATTACTATCTGTTTATGTTTTCTAATAGAAGTGTTTAAATCTATCATTTTCTTCCTAACAATTGCTAAAAAACTGAAATGATACAAAGTATGACCCCTGACCATAAAAGAATTAAACTAGAACACAGTAAGATAAAGCTACCTGGAAAATCCCCAAGTATTTGGAAATTAAAAAATACACTCCAAAAACATCCATTGGTGAAAGAAGAAATGTCAAGATAAATTAGAACATAGTTTGAACTTAAAGAAGATGAAAACACAACATATCAAAATCTGTGACAGGAAGCTAAAAGATTACTTCAGAGGGACATTTATAGTTAGTTGCTCATTAGAAAAAAACCCAGAGGTCTCAAATCAATAATCTAAACTTCTACCATAAAACTAAAAAAGAGCAAAGTAATCCCAAAGCAAGCAGAAAAAAGGAAATAAACTAAGAGCAGAAATCAATGACTTGAAGCCAGAAAGACAAGAGGGAAAGTCAATGAAACATAAAGCTGGTTCTTTGAAAAGGCAAACCTCCAGCAAGACTGACAAAAATAAAAAGAGAAAAAGACACAAATTGCTAATATCAGGAATAAAACAAGGGATAGCACTTCAGAACCTGAAGACATCAAAAGGATAAGGAGGAAACACCATGACCTCTACACACAAATTTGACAATTTAGATGAAATGGAACAATTCCTCAAAAAAGCACAAACTATCACAAGTCACCCAAAATGAAACAGATAATTTAAACAGCCCTGTAACTATTGAAGTAATTGTATCCATTTTACCACCCCCCAAAATCTCCAGGCCCAGAGTGTTTCATAGGAGAATTCTACCGGCTATTTAAAGGACTAACACCAATTCTATACAATCCTCCAGAAAATAGAAGAGGAAACATTCCCCAATTCATTTTATAAAGCTAGTATTACCCTGAAACCAAAGATAGTATGGTAAAAAAACAAAAGAAAGAAACTAACAGGCCATGAATATACACAGAAATCGTGACCAAACTATTAGCAAACAGACTCTAGCAACATGTAAAAAAAGTTATACACCATGACCAAGTGAAGTTTATTCCAGAGATAACAAGGTTGGTTTAATATTTAAAAATTAAGCAACATAATTATATTAACAGGATAAGGAAAGTTACAGGATCATGATCATATCAATCAATGCAGAAAACAGCATTTGACAAAATTCAACTCCTATCCACGATAAAGTTATGATCAAACCAGGAATAGAAGGGAACTTCTTTAATTTGATAAAGAACATCTACTCAAAGTCTATAGCTAACATTATACTTAGGGGTGAAAGACTAAATGCTTTCCTCCTAATTTTGGGAAAAAAGGCAATATGCCAGCTCTCATCACTCTTATACAACATAGTGCTAGAAGTTCAAGCCAGTGCAATAAGGCAATCAAAGGCATACAGATTAAACAGGAAGAAACAAAACTGCCCTGATTTACAGATGACATAATTGTGGGAGTGCTGGCTTGCTAGATTACTCTACCATATTGGAAGAAGGATTTTCAAGTCTTTGCTTTTGCATTTGCAGTTAGCATACCTGAAATGCTAAAACAAAAAACAAAGGAAAACACAAGGAATCCTCTCTTCAAACATTTGAGGTCCTTCCTAAAGATAATTTTCACATGTTGTGCGTACTGCTCATCCATGTATCTCTTAAATTTATTATATACAATAGATGCAAATGTTCAAGCTGTCAGAGAGGTGGTGTCATCATGGGGTCTGGAGACCAACTGCCAAGATTTGTACCTTGGCTCCACCCCTCACTAACTGCATTATCACTGTGGGCAAGTTTCTTAACTTCTCGCTCAATTCAATTTCCTCAATTACATAATGCTGATAACAGCAGTTCTTACCTCACTGGATTATTATTAGGACTAAATGTGAAAACATGTGCAAATGAAAACAGTGTCTGATGGATAGAAAGAGCTCAATGAATGTTACTCAAATTAGTGCAGATGTGTGAAATAAATGTCCCCATTCCCCTGAATGTGTTCCCTCTAATCAAATAATGATTACTCACAAAAATTTGATATGTTTGAGGATTTTCATCAAATAGAAAGATTACATGTAAGATAAAAATTAGGAAAATAGAAAATTTGTAGTAGAGGAAAAAAATTAGTACATATGGCAAAATATTCAACCTCATAAGTTATTTATAAAAGGCTGTTAAAACAGCAATGAAGTACTGCTATATAACTAGTAAATCAGAAGTATTAAAATTAACAGCCAGTGCTGGCTAGGTTGTGATCAACAGGTATACTATATTGATGACAGTGTAATTTGCAATACACTTGGAAGGAAATAAACTTATGTCTGTTATATGTGATATTGGACTTCCTGTAACTGAGCATTTACAGCTTTGTCTCTCTCTCCTTCCACAGTGGACAAAACTAATTCCAGATTCAATCCTTTCCAATGTATCCCAAAATATCAGTTACTTGAGTGTTCTCTGACATCCTCAGATATGCATGAGAGTGAAGGATGAGTAATGTTAAACCTAGGGCCAGGAAGTATGAACATGTGTCAGGGAAAGGATAACACAAAGACTAAACAAGTAGCAACAAGGGATGTGGGGCCAAAATAACATACCCAAGATCAGATTAGATCATGTCAGAGCTTTCAAGATTCAGTTTGGAGACACTGCTCTGGTGAAGCACTTCGGATACTAAGAACTATATATAGAGTATTCTTAACAGAGTTTGTTAGCATCATCTTTTGAGTTCTTAAAGGAATTTCCTCCTTTTGAACTGGAAAGCAGAAGACACTAAGCAATATAAAAATCATCAAATTTTGAGTCCTTTTGGTAAAACAGATGGCTCTATTTATTTACATATGAATCGGACTGAAGGAAGAAGAAAAATTTGGTTAGTCTGCTGGCTCCTACGTTCTCATTCACCAATAGATTGCTATTGATTGCATTATGAAAAGGCTGACAAAAATCTTTGAAAATATTAGGAGATTTTAGATAAATTTGCAGCAGAGAAGAGCATGCAACACACCTTTTCCCAAGCTTCTATTAAAATATTCATAGACTTTTAAAAAAATTGGGATTGCAGAGACGAATTACTATGCATACAGAAACATGATATTGAAGCATCATTAAAATGAGAGAAATCTTTCAAGATCTGTTTCCCATCTGAGTTTTACTCAGGGATCTGGCACTGTGTCCTCAAGGAGCTAACTACAAATAGCTCCATGCACGCCTAACAGATTTCTTGGTGTTCCCTTTGTTGGTCCAGCGACTTGCTTTATAATTCTTCCTGACCGAATGACTTTATTAGCAATAGAAAATACACTAATATTACGTTAGGAATTAAGCTTAGTATTTAAAACTATCAGCTATATTTATCCTATAATTTAATTTAATTGGTTTCTTTGTATTTTTTCCTTTACAAACAGAATTTACCACCAACCAGGTATCTCAGTCTCCCTAATATATAAAGACTTGTGTAAGAACATCTGATGACATGCATAAAATCACAATCACAGTAATTGGACCATAGTTAATATGAAGAAAAGAGGAATCTATGCTCATTTATAAGTGATTATATAAAGGAAGAGAAAGTATGCGTTAAGTAACAAAATAACATTACCTTTTTATATAAACAAGTTAGATAAACCCCGAGTTCTTAAAAAGTTTGTTTAAAAAACAGGTCAAGGTAAAGGAGCAAATTTGTATTTGTAACTTCCACATCTGATCATTTGGGTCCTTTTGCCTTGGATTTGGTCTCGTTTGGAATCTTTCCATTTTGACACTGAGTAAATCTGGCTACTGTAGAAACGCCATCCACAAACTTGGTTTTGAAAAGGACGTTTGCATTGTTGAACATACCTTCCTTTAGGGACACCACAATGAACTGAAGGGAAAAAGAAAAAAAGCATAAAAAATACTTTTCATAATATTCTTCAAGTTCACTCCTTTTTTTATACTGGGGTTAAGAACTGTTTGGAGATATTTTGATTTTGCTCTTTCTTTAAATGCTTGGCTCTAAGCAAATGCACAACCTCAAATGCAAGTAACAAACAGTCATAATATTAGGCCCTTAAATGGATTCTAGCTTTCCAAATTCAGTTTTAGCAGTCTCTTAAATTTTACCCTGAGTGCTGCATTACTCGGGTTTACTGCCTCCTGCTGGTTGACTGCCTGTTGCTATCTTCTGCAGCTGGCATCACTGTTTTGTGCTAGCTCTAAATGCCCTAGTGAAATATTTTTCTCTGTGATATTTTAATAATATCAAAGAGAGCTTCAAGTTCCTACAACACTACTACTAGCTCAAATGGAACATTTGCATAATTAAGAAAAGGTCCTACTTCACTGTTATCTGCAAAAAAAAACTGCGATAATAAATACATTCTATGATAATTATGAAACGAGAAGCCCCCCAGAGTTGCACAATGCATTATCTATACAACCATGTTCGGCAGCCCCAGTTCCTGCAGCAACAGTTCAATAAATATACAAATTGCTGTTAGCGTCAGAGGCTTTTCTCTACTTTCTAGCCAGGAGAAATGAAGAACACCCCCTCAAGTACCATATGATTTTCTGACACTAGGTATATTCTTGAAATAGTCTTTTGATTGTGCATCCTCTGGTAGCTAGAGAAAATAACTGCATTAACTCTAAATTAATTCCAAATTATGAAAAAATTAGATTCTCGCTCATGCTACAACCAACAATTGTAATGCTAGGTTATTTCTCTAATAGGAGACCAAACCCTCTTTCCTTCTATACCCATTTGAATACAAGTATACATTTAAAGAAACACACAATGCTTAAGTATTCCTCAACGCTCAATATCTTAATATTAACCACAACTAAAGAAGATTTAGAAAAATACTATTACTGAGACATTTTTTCTGGCTCTTACCTGAGAATGTGTGAAATGAGTACGCAGCATCTGTCCGATATTCTGGGTATGAGAAAGGTCCAAGGCTGCATCCACCTCATCCAGGATATAAATTGGAGCAGGTTTGAAGAGGAGCATGGACAGTATTAATGACAAAGCCACTAAAGACCTAAGAAAAGGAGAGCAGAAGAAAAGCTGCAGAACTTGATTTTACCACTTTTTACCAAAAAATTGAAGCAAATCTCTGTTATTACTATTATTATTGATGAATAGTGTATATTTAGTAGCTGAAAGATAGTCATGGCAAACAAGAATTTTAAGTTTTAACACTTTTATTGTATTAAAATGTTGCTTTTATTTTAGCTTTCCATTTTTCCTCTCTTCAATGAGTTTTATTTTGAATAGAATAAGTTCCTAATTTTTATTCCAGTCAGATAATCAGGATGTTATATTCAGTACCCATCCTTAAGAAAAGATCACGTCAGTGTTAAGAGTTTTTCTTTCCTTCTCCAACTGCTTATTAGATACATAGGTAGCAGGTGAGTGAGGGCTACATACTTAAACTTGTTAAGACAACAGCTACTGGTAAAACAGTAACTGGTTTATAACTCTTTCAAACTTTTACTGTGTATGTACCCACATGCACAGACACACAAACATACACAGGCAATCTATTTTTTTATTGGCACTATTTGAGAATAAGTTGCATAGATTTATGGCCCGTTACTTTAAATACTTCACATTGCCAGAAGTTCAAACAATCCTTATGTGATGGTTAATTTTGTGTGTCAACTAGACTAGATCATGGGGTACTGACATATCCAGCTAAACATTACTTCTGGGTGTGTCTGTGAAGGTATTTCTGGATGAAATTAGCATTTGAATTGGAAGACTCAGTATAGCAGTTCTGCCTTCTCCTGTGTGGGTGGACATCATCCAACCCATTACGGGCTTGAACAGTAAAGAAAGCAGAAGAAAGAATTTCCTAGATTACTTGAGCTGTGACATGGGTATTCTGCCCTCAGTGCTCCTGGTCCCCAGGCCTTCAGACCCAAACTGAAATACAACACTGGCTTTCCCGGGTCTCCAGCTTGCTGGCAGCAAATTGCAGACTTCTCAGCCTCCACAATAAAATGAGCCAATTCCTTATAATTAAATCTCTTCATACACACACACAAACACACACACACACACAAACACACTACTGATTCTGTTTCTCTGGAGAACCCCAATAGCCTTATTTAAAATTTGTAGTTTATGCCTACTTTTAGATTCTGCAGCTCTTTTTAATTTCTCTTCTAGTTAACCAACCCTTTTAACCAAAGCTGTTTTCATTCTAATCTGATATAGAGTTATAATAATTCTTATTTTTTCTTAAACATATTTTATTAAAAAGTCGTTTAGTTTAACACAAAATATTTTTAATTATTTAACATTAGAATAAAAATTACATTTGCAGCACATTTTTCTGTAACTTCAAACATCTCTTGGTATGCAGCACTACAGTAAATAGTCAATCTAATGCTTACCGCATCCCAACAGGTATTTATTAAGAAACATGTAAGTGGGAAAAAAGTATGTGCACGCAAGTGAAGGGAGTCTAGGAAGGTGAAACTAAAATTTCCAGAAAGAAAATTAATGAAACAGTACGATAAAAATCAAACAATAGTGAGACTGACATTTACCTCCATAGAGGGGAGCTGAAGTCATTCAACCTAAAATTTTTTTCACTGCCTTTCTCTATGTCAAATGTTTAAAGCATTGAGTTTTACACTTAGTCATTCAGAAAAAAAAACTCCCACCAAGTACTAAACTACTACGCTGGATAGTGGTATATCTAAAAATAAGTTTATATCATCTTAACGAAGGAAGTAATGTTTAGGTCCCAATAAGAAAATAAGCATACATTTTTTATTTTCCTCAAAACATTTTCTAGAACTTTGGCAAAAACAGTTAAACATACTGTGATCTAAATTGTGGAATTCAGTGTTCCTTAACAGGCAGCAGAAGCTGTCTTTTAGACTTTTAAAATATTCAGGAATTTTATCATGAATGAAAAATATAGAGTGGACTGGTATTCTGCTCATTATTTGATAAAGGATTTCATAAGGAAAATTGAGAGGTCTTAGTATTTTCTATGTATCTAAGAGTTACACAATGGCGTTATAGGGCACATGAGAACAATTCATGGACTATGGTTTGTACATCCACAGAGGAAAATAAAAAACAAATAACCATCTTCAATTATGTGAATATTCAGTGTTCCCTCAGGAGGTTTTAATTATTTGGCTCTCTGCAGGTAAGGAGTTAGGCCACATGACCTTCTAAGTTTCTCTCAGTATGAATCACTGTGTAATGCTGGGAGAAACTTCCCTGAAGCCCAGACCATGCTATTTCCACACCCTTCATTCCTTTAGGTAGATCCAAGTTTCCGTCGGTATCATCTTCCTTTCACCTGAGAATTTCCTTTAACTTGTAAAAGCTCTGATGGGATCAAATTCTTTCAGCTTTTGTTTTTCAGAAAAAATATTTCTATTGCCTTCATTTGAAGAATGTTTCTACTAGGTATAGAATGCTGGGTTGACATGTTTTTTTGTTAGCACTTATAGATGTTGTTCCAGACTTCTGTCTTGCACAGTTTTTGATGAGAAGTCTAAGTCACTCTTATCTTTGTTCCTTGGCATGTCATATGCCTTTTTACCTCTGGCTGCTTTTAAGATTTTTCTCCTAATTACTGGTTTTCAGCAATTTTGTATGACATGCCTTGCTGTGGTATTGTATGTGGGGAGGAGTGTAAGTGTTTATCCTACCTGGGGTTCACAGAAATCAAGTCTGTGGGTTTACAGAACTCATCAAATCTGGAAAATGTGGACACATTATTTCTTCAAGCAATTTTCTTTTTGCCTCCTCCTCTCCTTTTGGAACTCCAATCACATATATGTTAGACTGCTTGATATTGTCCCACAGGTCACTGAAGTTTTGTTTTTATAGCTTGGTGTTTGTTAGTTTAGCCTGAATACATTCTATTGCTATGCCTTGAAATTCACTTCTGTTTCTTTTACATTGTCTAATTGGCTATTAATCTCATGCAATGAACTTTTCATTTCAGGTATATTTTTTTTATCTCCAGAAGTTCTCTGATTCTTTTTTAATAGCTTCCATTTCTCTCATCACTTTCTTTTTTTCCTGTTAATTCTTGGAAATAGTTACTCTAACTTCCTTGTCTGCTAGTGTCATCACCTGTTATTTCTGAGTCTGTTTCCATTTACTGATTTTTCTCTAGGTTATGTAAGAGCCACATTTTCTTGTTTTGTCTAGTAATTTTTCCTAGATGCTGGAAATTGTGATGATGTTGTTCAGTCTCAATTTTGTTGTCTTTCTTTAAAGAGTATTGGGCTTTGTTCTGAGAAATAATTAAGTTACATGCAGATCACCCTGATCTCTTCAAGGCCTTCAGTGAACTGCAGTAAGGCATTCTAGAGGACCCTTCACTTCAGGGATAGTACAGACCTAACGCTAAGGTATAACTCACTGGGGCCTCCCAAAATCCTAATCTCTGTTCCCTTAATCTAGTGAGACAACTGGGCTTTGTGTGGGTTCCCCTCCCTGTATCCGCAGTGCAGAAATTGCTCCCAGGAAGAAAGCTGGGTAAATACTTGGCTCAGTACTTTTCTTTCCTTTCTTTCAGATATTCTCCTGGGCTACTCATTTTCCAATGTCTGAAAACAATTGCTTTTCATGTATTTTGTCTAGTTTTCTAGTTGCTCATCCTTATTTCTCCTTTGTTACCTACTCTTTTAATCAAATATTCTAACCAAAATTTATAGTCTTACACATTAGTCTCCTTAAACACTACATGCAAAGATAGCTAAGCAAAGCAAAACAAATAAAATTGGGAGGCAATGAGATGATGGATTATAATAAAGTAAGAGGAATTAGGAATTATAATATTGCAAAGGGATTACTCACCTCTGACCACCACTAAGTTCAGTTAGGTTTTCTTTCCAAGTATTTCCTAATGCAACCTTGAACTCCAGACCATCCAAAACAGTTTGCCCCTCTGGTGGTGCAAGCATAGCATTTGCACCAGGTAAAAGAGTAGAGAAAATAGATCCAAAGTCCTTGTTCACCTGGATAAAAAAATGATATTAAAAATATCATAGGAGGTTTTCCAAGAAGAATCAAATGTTGATATGTGTATATGCAACCCACCAGGTGTATTCTGTTGTCTGTTACTCTAACTCGGGGGTTGGCAAATTATGGCCCATGTGACAAAGCTGGCCACGCCCATTCATTTAAGTATTGCTTTGGCTGCAAGCATTACAACAATAGAGTCTAGTAGGTGCAACAGAGACTATATGGCTCACAAGGCCAGAAGTATTTATCATCTGTCCCTTTACAGAAATAGATTACTGATTCCTGCTCTCACTTCCAGAGGGAACTAGAAGCTATATCTCTAACTCTACCCTGAAGCTTTGATACTTTTGCAGGTCATATTGCAGGAATCATCAGAGGCATACAATTATATAATATAGGACACTGAACTTTCAGTTGGAGAAGCAAAAGCAAAACAAAAACTTTCTTTTTGGCATAAAATGTTCTCCTATAAAACCTGTTTTCTGTTGACTGGCGGTCATCAGCTAATGTTAAAAAGCCTAAGAAGATCAAGGTGAAGCCTAGGAGAAAAGGAAGCATGAAATCAAACAACCAGATCTGTTCAAGGCACTGAATAGTTCTTTTCTATATGCTTCTTCCCATAGCCAAAGAAGCTAAGGTGTCAAGGGACAAGAATAGGATTGGACCCCAAGAGAATAAGGCTTAAAGAAGCTGTTTGGCCTATCTCCATCAAGCCATAGTAGGAGATTACACAGAGATTTAGGGCCTATATTCTAGCTTGTGACTGGGTAATTTTTGTGCATATGCACCTGATCAATGATTTGAAAATTCAGCCATCTGTCTTTAAAGACATGAGTAATTTTAAAGAGTTCTGCAGCAAATTTGAGACTATATATGAACACACTCATGCACACACCCAAGTCAATTTGACAGCCATGCTCTCTAGGGAAATCTCCAAATTAAAGTACAAAACTCAAGTGCAAGTATACTTTTTATCAATATTTGTAGTAATACGGAAATTTCCTAGACAGAAGCAGTGTTTCTGAATATAGATTTACTAAGGAATTCATATTTAAGAGCAACTACACACAGGCTGAGTAATATCCTACACAGAGGAAGCAGGTTCTAGTTTTATCTGGAATAGATTTCCAGAGCTAGGCAAGGTTCATCGCAGTGCAGGACCACTGTCTTTTTTGGGAAAGATGGAAGATAGCATAATATTTATAAACCCTCTAGGTTCTTTTTCTTTCTTTCTTTTTTTAAAAGTTTTTTGGCCAGGCGGGTAGAGGCAGCACAGGACTAACACAGTGGAGTACTACTAGACCCCAAACATGCCCATGGACCCCACATGGAAACTCTTCCAGAGTGGAAAAGAGAAACTAACCAGTTAATGGGCAGAGAAGAGCACAGCCTTATCTTAAATAGGAAAGGAATTATATTCAAGGAGAGATATCAAGATGAAATGCAATCGAATTTTGAAAATCCAGTGAGGTTAAGAGGAAACAAAAAAAAAGAAAACACAACCAGTGCCCTAAAATACTCTGGCTTTGTGAACCAAGTATGTCTGATACCAGAAGGAAGTATATAATGCTCATAATTATAGTTCCTACCTCATTAAGTTATTGTGATGATTAAATGAGAAAATTAATATGTAAATACAGTCTGAAATATAATAAGCACTGAAATTTACTTGCTTTGGGAGAATCTTTGAAATTGGGGAAAAATCCACTTAAAGGATAAATTTGTACTGGCACTAAATCCAGGAACCATGGAGAAAAGACAAAACTTCCCAGATCCAGTGGTAAATCCAGACGTTGTACAAGAAAAATGGGGCCAACCTTTTGCATGCATTTTTAAAAGACAGATACTACAAGAAGATGGAGCACTGAAAAGAAGTCATAGAGCAGGAAAAACAAGATGACTGATTACTGAAAATAAAGTTCCTACAGAGGCAAGGTACCCAGTTAAATCCAGAAGCTTGTTAAAGCATCAAACAACACAGTAACTATGTTTGGAATCTTTTGAATAAGAGTCTTTTGCTATGATGGATACAGGAAAATTTCTACACTGAGAGGCTAAGGAATTATCCTAAAGGAGACAAATAGATGCAGCCAGCGAAACAGAAACAACAGTGAAGAACCTCCAAATCTACCAAAGTTGTCATAAAACAAAACAAAAATGGTAATTGGGATTCTGCCGAATAAGAGACCAGTAAAAGAGAACACTAGACTTCCTTGTTTATTGCCTAATTCTTAAAGGGCAACAAGGGTGACAACAGTTAGCAACAACAGGCAATTTTCACTTTGGTTCTAATTTAGGAAAAGAGACTACCAGTTTTTCCACCTTTTGGCTTTATGATCTTAGGCTATTTCATCTCTCTAAGCTTTGGTTTCTTCATCTATGAAATAGAGATAATAACTATCAAAATTATGGAATTGTCTTAAGATAATTCATGTTAAGATAACTAACAGTAACTGCTTAATATGTGTTAATTAATATAATTATTAAGCTAACATGTACAAAATGCTTTGCTAAAAACCTACAGAATGCATAATACTTATGAATTCTGAAGTGCAATGAATAATTTGTAAGTGGTAAAGAATACACCAGTCTTGCTACCTGGAAATGTTCTTAGAACTAATATTTGACCTGAGTTGGGAAAGAGAAACCAAGGAGGTTAGAACTGAAGGGGTGCTTGGGAGAGGTTTTCCAACAATCAGAGCTTCTCCAGTGTGAAAATGAGATTGCTTCCAGTTTCCAGCAGAGGGTGAGTGAGGTATAGCAGATATCGGACAGTACTAGGGTTTCTTCCAAAAGTAAGAGCCTATGATGTCATGGGAAGGAAAGAGGACAAATGGTATCCTCTTTAAAGGTCACACAGACCTGGCAAACAAGAATGAAAAATGGCGAAATCTAGAAAGGTGGAATTTAATATAACTTAGGAACCAGAGATGTAGAGTACAAGAATATGATGGAGTGACTCAAACTTAGCTTTGCGAATGGGAAGTAGCCAAGTCCAAAAGGACAAAACACATTTAAAAGTCTATGAGGTTTTAATTAAGGCGTGAGTATGTGCCTCAGTCAAACACAAATCAGCCATTTCAAATTCACCTTCAGAGTACAAATCTATTGACAATGTTTCTCCTCCTTGCCTCATACAGACCAAATGATTATAGTTTCAGCTCAAATACCTTTTGCCAAGCAATATTGAGGGCTTGGTTCTTCTTCCTGTCAAGGTCCTCTATAGTTGCAAGGATTTTAGATTTGTCATTTTCTACAATTCTCTTCTTCTTTGTCAAGTCATTATACTAATAAGATAAAAAGCATACTTAATTGGGAAAACATAAAATTTTCTTGATATTCTACAATTAGGAATAAAGAGGTTTCATTATTTTTATATATAATATATATTCTCTTACTTACCAAAAAGATATACTGCATTAAGAGTTATAATGTAAATCAAATTACAAGGCAAGTAAATATATCACTTCTATGTAAAATTCAATTACTGTAGTTGAAAACTTAACGGAGATAAGCTCCTGAAATATTCTGCCTCCTCTAACATTCCCTTGTCCTCCTAGCAGACAAGGCAAAAAGGAAAATGTGTCATACGTAAACTCAAAAGTAGCCCCACATGCTTTCTTCTTAAGGTCAATCTTAGCAGTGACACAAATAAAATTTCAATTCTTCACCATGATGTACAAGTCCTACATACTTATCCTTATGTATCTGTGACATTCTGGCATCAGCCTCCTCCCGAGGCTGCAGCCACATGGTCTTTTTTCAGTTCCCCCCAAATTTTTTCTTCCCAAAATGCTCCTTCTCCCTATCTGACATAACCGGTGCCTCATAAGTTTCAGCTCAAACATCACATCTTCAGAGTGACCTTCCCTGGTTAACGTAGAAATTTACTGAAAAAAAATTTGAAGGAGGCTGAAGAGGAATAATTATACAATGAGAGGCAGGAGGACTTTCTAAAAATCCTCTTAACTCATTTCTCCTCAAAGCCTGACATTTCAAGGAGGCTTCAAATTCTCTCTTAAAAACTCGAGCCAGTCTTCCAGCTTCCTTGCTGTCCCTTCTCCTTTATGGCTAAGCTCATAAAACCTCCTTTCACATTTTTATATTATTCTTTGCATAATTCCATGTAGTTTCTTATGCGGGGACACACAAAATACAACAAAAAGTAAAACGAAAGGCCATCTGCAGATCAACAATAGAGCTTTCGTCTCTGGTAAGCAGATGAGAGTTGGTGAATTCCTTTTAAAAAATAACAGAACCAGTTATCATTATCTAATAAAAGCAAACAAGTAAAAGTGAACAAGTCTCACGATGTTATGCATTTCCTTACACAAATATGCCACATACTGCAAAGCTTTAATGGAGAACATTTTATAGAGATCACAACACATGCATTATTAGCCTGTTTGGTATCTAATATAATACAGATCCTGTGTAGATACTAACATCAATAACAGTTTAAAAAACTCATTACAGCAAAATTTCTTAAAAGTAATTGAGCTCATAAGTACTATCACTTTTACAGAGCTCTCATTAACTCTATTATGCAAATTCAAATAGAATTTTGCAGAATTAAAGACGGTATAGGGCATAATATAAAATGACTCAGACTGCTATTTCCTCTGGGGAGGAAGAGGGACTGCTTTCCCCTTTGGATTTTTCTAGTGACACAGCAGACTCAAAGTTCCGTCAGGGTAGGGGAGATAGATAACATTATCAAGTAACTGAGAGCATTAAAACAGAGAAGATGCTGCTGGATTGACAGATTAGTAAAACAGCGGTTATGTATAGAACAGTCTTAGTCATTACTTATATAATGATTCCAGTACACAGTAGAGTCAAAAGGAAGACAGTAGTCACGGAGTGACCAGTGAGGAGGCAGACAGCAGGATACCCTATTTTTCAAAGCATTTCAAGGCAAGTGAAAGAAATGATAGAAATGTGAGGAGTTAACATGATTAAAAAGTGTTTCTTTTATTTACACCAAGAATAAGAAGAGCAGAACACGGGTATGGCAAAGGACAAAGACAGTGGAAAGGTTATCCAACGTACTACAGAATACATAAACAAGCTGTGACGCAAAAAGAATGAAGTAAGAAAAGAAAGAACTGAAAAGAGAGAAAAAGAAAACAATTATCAAGGGCATCAAGCAAAAGGATGACTAACAACTATCGCAGTGGTCATATAGCCATCAACGCTACTCATGTTCTAAGGTGGACAGTCACAGGAACAAGACTCACTCGCTCTTCAGCTTCTGTCAGTACGTTCATAGCTCTCATGTTGACATTTCTTCCTAGTTTCTCCTTCATTTCTTGCAGCTTCTGAAGTCTCTGACCAGCTTCTTTTGGGTTGTTAGTTTTGAAATCATATGCACTATTGGGTTGCCCAAAGAGGTGTTTCTCTGCGTTAATCCAGTCATTATCTTTCAACATTTTGGACACCTAGCCACATATAATAGAAGGATCTATCACTGCTTACAAACTTACATTTAAAATCCAGTTTCTTAAAATATTTATTAATTTTAAATCAAATATTTTGGAGAAAAACCCCACAATGATTCATTTGAAAAAGTTTAAGTATGAATTTGAATAAGTATGAATATTTTTATCTGGAGGATAGGCTCAAGAAATAAGGGATAGTATAGAAAAAGATCTTCCTATTACTTCAGCATTAGAATAAGAGCCAACTCAGAGAAATTTTTACAAAGTATATGTAAAACATCTCCAGTAGAATGAAATATAAGTCACCTGAGGCTCCAGATTTGACCAAATTCAATCTACTGCTTCAAAAAAGAACTTGTGAAAATTAAAATTCTTATAGGATTACTTACATCTTAGATTTGGTAAAATTTGTGGAAGCCTAATCCTGACTGATATCTAATAATTCTACTCAGAATTATAATCTAAGTAAAAAATTGCCCCAAAGTTTGAGTCCATCCCCTCGCCTCTCTCTTTTGACAAGGCAAAGTAAAATACTTCTTCATATAATACAACTGATTAAAAAATTTAAATCACTTCAGGAAGACTTTCCTCTACTCGAATTGTTTAAGGTTGGTTGTAACTGGTAGAATGTAACCCTTGTCAATTTGTTTATTAATTCCATGGCTATTGTCTCACCTCTAGGCTCCAACGTAAAATGATCCTTCCTAGTCTATCCTTCCTGCTGACCTATAAGTTCTATGAAGTCACTCTGTGTACACGTTGCTCATTCTTCTATCTATAGTGCTTGCCATAGTATCTGACAGTAGTCCATACATAATAAATATTTGATAAACTACGTATTTCAATGAATCTTTGACTTTTTAGCAGTTCCATTTACAAATCCCTCTTTTTACTTCCTTAACTGTAAACAAAATCCCTTAGCAATCACCAACACTAGCATTTTCAATTGGCAAAAAACTATTAACAGTAATATTATCATTGGTAATATGTCAATAAGTCCACTAACACTAGTGGGAAATCAATACTAATAAAATATTAGGATTGTATGATGTGGCCATAAAAATGTTTTTTAAACCAAGTAATGAACACCTGAAAAAGCACTCATGGCTTTTTCAGAGGGTGAGGATACTGTTTTGTATGTTCTGATCTTTATAAAGTTAAATCTCCTATACTCTTATGATGCTAAAAAAGATTTAAAAGGTACCAAACTGTTATGCACCTGTAAGAAAACATGACGGCTGAAGTATTAAGACCACATGGATGCAGTCTCTTAACCAAGCAATGAATTTCTGCAAAAGCAGAAAGTACTTAAGGCATTGTGATACATGAAAGGAAGAAACTTTCAAGAGACCAAAAAACTGTAGGATAACCTCAAAAAGATCATTGCTGCAGCCTCATTTGAAATCTAATGTTTTGCCAAGCAGTTGACTGTACTAATCCTCTAAGAACATCCAGAAGCCAATTACGTCCTTATTTTACAAGTTGCCTGTATATATTTCTGTGAGTTCTTCAAATTCAATTTGAAATAAGGTAAAGAATATGTATATTATTACTAATACATTAGTAATTATTTCTATGAACATTTAGGGACAAAAAACAGTCATTTCCATGGGAGACCACTAAATATTTGGTAAAAACATCTTATAGATAGGAATACCTGAAAGTAAATTTAAAAGATATTTGTGCCATTTGGTGAAAATGAGCATTGCCGAGAAGCAGTCAACATAACTGTAAGCCTCAAAATTATGTTACACAGTAGTTCTGCCATTTATACTAAGTTCTTCATCAAGCAGTTTACTGGAATATTTCAATGACCCAGCAGCAAAAATCTGATTAAGGGTAAAAATGAATGGAAACGTGCCTTTGCAGCAGCATCTTCAGCTTCTCGTTTATGTTTGCTGATGTTGTGGTCTAGTTCCTTAATTTTAAGCTGAGAATCATTGTTTTGCTCTTTATATTTTGCCACTTCTGCATATTTAGCTTTAACTACATTGTCTTGGGCTGTTATCACTTCCTTTTGCTTGGTCACCTCTTCTTGAGCTTTCTTTACTGATTCCTGAAACAAATTAGAAGACAATATACAGCAAGGTAATATGGAAATATTTTTAGTTTACTAAAAGATCATCTAACAGACTTCTGGGCAAGGTGGCAACGTGATTGCAGGCAGATGATGACCTAACTCTACATTTTATATCTCCTTTAAAATGACCAGTGAATTTTCACATGGGAGAAAACCTGTATTACCACTAGAAAAAAGGGATGGGATGCAGTTTTCATGCTTGAAGCAACCAAGTTTCTACTGGCTACAGTTTGGCTGGCATCAATCAAGGGGAGGAGGGACTGCTGGAACCTGACCTGTGATGTCTCTCACAAAGTGTTATTTCTGGGGAGTCAACAAGAAGATAATCTGACATACCTCCTCCAAATGACAATATTAAGAGGAGCAAAGAACAGGGGTAGAAGTAAGGTAGGCTGGGATTTGCTTTTTCCCTTTTATAAACGTTAAGCCATAGGACTTTACCAGTGGCAATGGAAGGTCAGTGTTTGGTTCTAGCACTGGGGTCAAAATAGAGAATCAAAAAAGAACAGAAACGTCTTTGAAGAGATACATCTGTGACAAATAAAAACTTCTTGCTCTGACTTTGACTATCTCCCTACCTCTCAAGGTAGAAGCTACGCAACCTCCAAAGTGGTAATTACAGCTAGTATTTCTATCTCCCTCCCCCTACCCCAACAGCCTCTGCTTCATCCTAGATGTTAAAAGTTCTTCTGGTAAAGATATGGTCACAAACTCACACAAACATCTAAAGACAAAAAGACCAAGCTCAACTTAGATTTGGGGGGGGGAACAAAGTAGGAGAACAACCTGCTAAAAAAGACTGAGGAAGAATAGATCTCTATTATGTGATTAAAAGCACCAGTAAAAAGTTGGGAATTTTTTAGGCATGCTCATTAGAAAACAAGATAATTGTGAGTAATAAAGAATACTTGACATTATGATTAGGTTATTGAATGTGTTCTAAGAGTACATTCTTTCTCTTTAATAATTCTCTTTAATTTCCTTATAATGTTTAACTTGTGTCTTTAGAGGTCTTTTGCAGAAGAATGATAAATCATGACATTCATCTAAAAAACTCAAAGATATTTCAGGCTTTTTAAAACTTTTTTTTTTTTAAAGATTGGCACCTGAGCTAACAACTATTGCCAATCTTCTTTTTTTTTCTGCTTTTTTCTCCCCAAATCCCCCCAGTACATAGTTGTATATTTTACTGGTGCATCCTTCTAGATCTGGCATGTGGGACACCGCCTCAACATGGCCTAATGAGCGGTGCCATGTCTGCGCCCAGGATCCGAACCCCGGGCCACTGAAGCAGAGAGCGTGAACTTAACCACTCAGCCACAGGGCCGGTCCCTTTTTAAAACTTTTCAAGAAGAAGAAAAGAAAGTGTTAAATACTCTGGTGACATTAACCAAAGGAAATAATAACAGACACAGGTTTATTACTAACACTGTATCTGACGAAGATTCTCTCATGCTAGAATTTAAAGATTGCATTGCCATTGTGGGTGTTTTAATGTTTTTTACAATGGTAAGAAGAACCACGAGAAATTTGTTACTTAAGATTGAGTAGAAATGAAATTTTAGTTTTGCTTATCTGAGCCTAATTAGTTAGTAGGCAGCTTCCTTTCTTAATTCCCTGGGAGTGTCCTCAGGCACTCATATCAGCCAAGGGAAACAATTTAGGATGTAGAGCCCAAAACAATAATCTTTAAAAACTAAGTGATCCATTTTACAGTTTCCATAAAGAAAAATGGATATCCTCTTGATAGAAATATATATGTCTTGATTTTATCTTTATTTAGATTAAGGAAGGAGTAGCTTATTTTATTTTCACATTTCTCTTTAGAAACACAGTACCTAATTTTTAAAAATTCTACACTATGATGTCCATGAAAGACAGAGAAAATATGGAGGAATGAGACGAAATAAATATGAGATTAAAAGACAACCAATCAGAAGGAAACGAAAAATATTTTTAAAAACCAAAATTTACTTTAGAGGAAAACTAGAAACTGAACAGAAACTGGAGAAAATTCAATCAGCAACTCAAAGCTAAGAAGCTTTTTGATCCCTTATCTTCAAAAAGGAGTAGTTAAAAAATTGTATTTGATAAACAATGTTAAAAAACTTGAATTTCACCATGAACAGAATCAAGAGGAAAGACTTATTTTCCAAACCACTGCACGCCACATGGATTAAAACAATCATTTTAAGGGAAAAATATGACAGAAAATGTAGATGACAAAAGCAAGGCAAAAACACTCTTTACCACAATGTAGATAAATGGGTAGAACTCTCCTGTTAAAAGCTACATACATTTAGTTAACACACAAATCAATGATACTTAGTTATAAAAACAGAATCTGTAGTAACATAACAGAAAACTGAAAAAATGAAAGTTACATCACAAACAAAAGTAGGGACATTTTGTACAGCATGGTAACTATAGTTATTAATACTGTATTGCATATTTGAAAGTTGCTAAGAGTAGATCTCAAAAGTTCTCATGACAAGAAAAACGATGTTGAACTATGCATGGTGACAGATGTTAACGAGACTGTTGTGGTTATCATTTCACAATATACACAAACATCAAGTCATTATATTGTACACCTGGAACTAACATAACATTTTATGTCAATTATATCTCAATTAAACAAAAAGGAGGGGGCCAGCCCAGTGACACAGTGGTTAAGTCTGCATGTTCTGCTTCGGTGGCCCAGGGTTCAGTAGTTCGGATTGTAGCTGCGGACCTAGCATTGCTTGTCAAGCCATGCTGTGGTAGGCGTCCCACATATAAAGTAGAGGAAGATGGGCACAGATATTAGCTCAGGGCCAATCTTCCTCAGCAAAAAGAGGAGGATTGGTGGCAGATGTTAGCTCGGGGCTAATCTTCCTCAGGAAAATTTTTAAAAATTTAAAAAAAAGAAAGGAGTAGAAATAACATGAAATAAAACAGGATTCAAGGTCAAAATCACAGAAAGGGACAAGAGGACACCCGAGATATCCAATATTCATGAGGGACAATCTCTGACAAAGACATACCACAACATTAATTTGCAGGTAACAGAATGTCTTCATAACGTTTGAGACCCCCTGACCCCTAAATCTACCCTTCATAGCCCTGCTTCTGATATCAGAACATTTCTCACTCACCAGCTGCAACAATATTAAGCCTCAGCAATAAAGGATGCTGCAGGGACACTGCAGAACAAAGGGACTTAACCTCCTGGTCTTGATGTGTTTTTCTCAAAAGTAAGCTTGTCATGTGCAATGGCTAGCAGCTTGCATGGCTTCCCCTGGCATTCCAGAAAGCTATTTCTCAACAAGTGCTGCCCATGTGGCACTTCCCTATGGACAATTTCCCCTGGCATTCCAGGAAACTTCACCACCCACAGGCCACAGTTATGTCTTCAACTATATATATCAGGTTCTCAGCCCTGCAGGTAGAATGGGGCTGTTTTCCAGATTTGTCCCTTCCATGGGTGCCCTGCTTCAGCCCTACAGGTAATAAGGGCTGTTCCCTGTATCCATTGCTCCTATATTCTTTAGAGTTCTATTTACCCCTTGGCGATCAATCCCGCATCATTCTAAACGCCTGTTACAGTTAATACTTTTTTATTTAAATTTTGCCTGTTCAAACTACGGTGCAGTTTTTGTCTTCTGAGTAGACCTGGACTAGAAAAATTAGTAATATTATTTCAAGATTCTTTGTGGATTGGCAATCATTATCATAATAAAAGTTAACAGACCGAGACCTCTAAAGTCAAACATGTTCAAGTCAACATTTCATAAGTAGATTAACATTTCTAATTTCTCCAAAACCATAAGTAAATCTTACCTTATTTTTAGCCACCTCAGCTGCCATTACTTCAATCTGACCTTCATAGGATTTGATAGCTTCATTTACAGCTTCGAGCTGTTGTTTATAGGATGCATGCTCTCTCTTGAGCTCTTCCAGCTCCAGAGTGATAGCTTCAACTTCCTATAAGAAACACAGTATCTGGGCATTCAAAAGGTTATTAACTACTGAAAAATAAATAAGGACATGTCAACACAGTCAATAAAATCCTCATGCAAGACTCAGAGCTTAGTTACTCAACTATCAAAAACACATGTAAGCTGCTTCCCCATAAGAAAGGAGAGGAAAGGAAATTTATTTTCCTATACTTAAAAAAAAATGATGACAAATGCATGTACAATTTTTATGGTTTCAAAGAACTTTGCATAAACTATTCCCTTTATTCTTTTATTCCTATAGGAGAAATAATGTACAATTCTATATAACAGATAAATGAGCAGAGGTAAAGCCTTTTTTTAAACACAATTATTCAATGTCAAAAAAATTAATTTCTCAATTTTCTTCTTTACCATTATAGCCTTTAGTTCATTAGAAAATACTTTGTGCAGCTATTTAATGACAGAATCATAAGGTCAGTTAAAAGAAAAACTATGAGGAAAAGTAGAACAGTGATTCAGAGCATAGTCTTTGGAGACAGAAAAAAACTGCATTCAAATTCTAGTTAGCACTATCCAAAAGATATAATCCAAAACCCCCAGTCTACAATTGAATGGCACTTTATAAATACAACATGCTTCATCTCACATCATTCTTTCAGAGTTAATCTTCACACATACGATCACCAAATAGAAGTGTCAACACTGAATCTCTGATATTACATGTAGCCCCACTATGTGCTATGAGCTTTGGTCCACACTCGAATGAAGCATTTAGGAAAAGGCAACTTTGCTCTTTCTTTAAAATAAAATTAGCAAGCCAAGGCAAGTCATATTCACAATCACATGACACTCAATTATAGGGTTTTCAGAGAAGAGGATATTTTAATCTGACTTATAAGATGCATAATTTATTTCCTAAAGAAGTATACCTTGCTTTTAGATTTTGTGATGAACAAGGCCAACCAATGATGCTCTACCACGTTTAGATTGGTTCCATTTCAAGAAAGGTCATTACCTGTTGTTTTTCTTTCATTTTCTTGCTAGAAGCATCTGCTTTCGTTTTGGCACAATCCAGTTTTTTCTGAGCATCCTTCAGTTCTTTCTCTCTTTCAGCTTCTGCATTTTTCATTTTATTCTCCAATACTTCATATTTTTCTTCTGCTTTTTTTTTAATTTCTTCAGTGTTTTTTAAGGTCTCCTGACTTTCCTCTGCATCATAAAGCAGGCACATGTGGCTAAATGAGGTCCTTCAACTATTAACAGTTACAGATAATGGCTAATAAATTCAACATTTAATAGAAGAAATGTTAGAAGCTGGAGTTTTAAAAAAACTTAACTGTTCCAAACTTATTCTACAAATGGTATGATGAAACACAAATCCTGCCTGAGAACCATATTTAAATTATCTAAACATCTGTAAAGGAATTATTTCCTGATAATCACATAAAATTGAGTAACATAACCTTTACCTATAACTTACCTACTTTTAAACAAGGTTTTGAAACAACTTTAATAAAAAAGGATCATAGACCATCTTTTTAATACAACTGTATGCTTCTTATAATCAGAACTAGGAGTATGTTATTTTTCCTTTATTTTAGTTGCCAGAAAGCTTACAATTAATTTTCAAAACAAGCTTACTTTGTGTTCTTTGCTAATTTATATTTAGTTAAGGAATCTCTTATTAAAGTAGAGAAATATTCTGAGAACATGCCTAGGATGAAGTATAGGAGAAATATCTGTAAATTTATGAAGAAAAAAATTAAAAAACAAGATAGAATAAACATGTTTCTGTCACAACTGACATGCTCTGTTAGTGTTAAGACCTAGGTACAAATAAAACCCTGGAAGCCATGACTGCACAATTTCCTATACTATTTTTCATTGCATAATATTATTGTGAGAAATCAAAAAAGAAATAAAAAATACCTTGGAAAAAAAATTAAAAATGGAAATAAACTAAAACTTATGGAAAGTAGCAAAAGCAGTCATAAGAGGGAAGTTCACAGCAATAAATGCCTCCAAAAAAAACAAGAAAAAAAATCTCAAATAACCTAACTTTACATCTCAAGGAACTAGAAAAAGAAGAAACAAAGCCCAAAGTTAGAAGATGGAAGAAAATAAAGATCAGAGTGGAAATAAATGAAATAAAGACTAAAGAGACAATAAAAAAGATCAATGAAACTAAGAGCTGGTCCTTTGAAAGGTAAAACTGACAAACCTTTAGCTAGACCCACCAAGAAAAAAAGAGAGAGGACTCAAACGAATAAAATCAGAAAGGAAGAAGATGTTATAACTGATACCACAGAAATACAAAGGATCCCAGGAGAATACTATGAACAATTACAGGCCACCAAATTGAACAACACAGAAGAAATGGATAAACTACTAGAAACATACAACCCACAAGACTGAAACAAGAAGAAAGAGAAAATCTGAACAGACTGGTAACTAGTAAGGAGGCTGAATCAGTAATCAAAAACCTCCCAGCAGCAGAAGGCCAGGACCAGAAGGCTTCACCGGTGAATTCTACGAAACATTCAAAGAGTTAAAATGATTGGTAAATCATTCTCAAACTCTTCCAAGAAATACAAGAGGAGGGAACACTTCCTAACTCATTTTACAAGGCAAGAATTTGCCAATACCAAAACCAGAGAAGGATGCCACAAAAAAATAAAATTACAGGCCAAGGAGCCAGCCCTGTGGCATAGTGGTTAAAGTTCCACGTACCCCACTTTGGGAGCCTGGGTTCATGGGTTCAGATCCCAGGTGCAGACCTACACCACTTGTCAGCCATGTTGAGGTGGCAACCCACACAAATAGTAGAGGAAGACTGGAACAGAAGTTAGCTCAGGGCTAATCTTCCTCAAGCCAAAAAAAGAGGATATTAGCTCAGGGTGAATCTTCCTCAGGAAAAAAAAAAATTACAGTCCTGATGAACACAGATGCAAAAATCCTTGACAAAATATGAGCAAACCAAATTCAACAATACATTGAAAGGAACATACACCATGATCAAGTGGGATTCATTTTAGTGACACAAGGATGGTTTGACATCCACAAATCAATGACACATCACATTAACAAAACATACGATAAAGATCACATGATCTCAACAGATGCAGAAAAAGCATTAGACAAAATTCAAAATCTATCATGATACAAATTCTCAACAAAGTGGGCAGAGAGGGAATGCACCTGGACATAACAAAGGTCATATATGACAAGCCCACAGCTAACATTATACTCAACAGTTGAAAGCTGAAAGCTTTTCCTCTAAGATCAGGAACATGACAAGGCTGCTCACTCACCACTTTTATTCAACATAGTACTGGAAGTCCTAGCCAGAGCAATTAGGCAAGAAAAAGAAACAAAAGGCACCCAAATGAGAGAGGAGGAAGTAAAACTGTCACTATTTGCAGATGACATGGTCTTATACATAAAAAAAACTCTAAAGACTCCATCAACAAACTGTTAGAATAAACAAATTCAGTAAAGTTGTGGGCTGCAAGATCAATATACAAAAATGTATTGTGTTTCTATACACTAATAAACTATCAGAAAGAGAAACTTTCAAAAAACCCACTTAAAAAATTGCATCAAAAACAATATAATACCTAGGAATAAACTGAACCAAGCAGGTGAAAGACCTGTATACTGAAAACTATGACATTCTTGAAAGAAACTGAAGAAGATACAAATAAATGGAAAGACATCCTGTGATCATGGATTGAAGACTCAATACTGTTAAAATGTCCACACTACCCAAAGCAACCTACAGATTCAGTGCAATCCCTATCAAAACTGCAATGGTATTTTTCAAAGAAACAGAACAAACAATCCTAAAATTTGTGTGGAACCACAAGACCCTGAATAGCTAAAGCAATCTTGAGAAAGAACAAAGCTGGAGGAACCACGCTCCCTGATTTCACACTATATTACAAAGCTATAGTAATCAAAACAGTACGGTTTTGGTATAAAAACAGACACACAGATCAATGGAACAGAATAAGGAGCCCAGAAATAAACCCATGCAAATATGGTTAATTAATTTATGACAAAGGAGACAAGAACATACAATGGGGAAAAGACGGCCTTTTCAACAAATGGGGCTGGGAAAACTGGGGAGCCACAGGCAAAATAATGACACTGGACCATCATCTTAAGCCATACACAAAAATTAACTCAAAATGATTTAAAGACAAAAACGTAAGACCTGAAACCATAAAACTCCTGAAGGAAACACAGGCAGTAAGCTCTCTGACATCAGTCTTGGTGATAATTTTTTAGATTTGACACCAAAAGCAAAGACAACAAAAGCAAAAATAAACAAATGGGACTACTTCTGCACCACAAGTGAAACCATCAAAAAAATGAAAAGGCAACCTACTGAATGGGAGAAAATATTTGCAAATCATTATCTGATAAGGGGTTAATATCCAAAATGTATAAAAACCTCACACAACTCAATAAAAAGAAACCAAACAATTAAAAAATAGGCAGAGGATCTGAATAGACATTTTTCCACAGAAGACATGTAGATGGCCCACAGTTACATGAAATGATATTCAACATCCCTAATCATCAGGGAAATACAAATCAAAATCACAGTGAGATATTATCTCACACTTGTTAGAATGGCTATTATCAAAAAGACAAGAAATAACAAGTGTTTGCTAGGATGTGGAGGAAAGGGATCCCTTGGGCACTACTGGTGAGAATGTAAACTGGAGCAGCCACGGTGGAAAACAGTGTGGAGACTGCTCAAAAGATTAAAAACAGAACTACCATATGATCCACAATTCCACTTCTGGGTATTCATCTGAAGGAAACACACTAACTTGAAAGATATATGCACCCTCATGTTCATCGCAACATTATTTACAACAGCAAAGACATGAGACAACCCAAGTATCCATTGATGGATAAATGAATAAAAAAAATTTGGTGAATATATATATACACAATGGAATATTATTCAGCCACAAAAAAGAAGGAAACCTTGCCATTTGCAACAACATGAATGGACCTTGAGGGCACTATGCTAAATGAAACGTCAGACAGAGAAAGACAAATACCATATGATCTCACTTACACCTGGAATCTCAACAACAATCACCACCAAAAAATCCAAGCTCATAGATACAGAGAAAAGACTGGGGGTCGCCAGAGGCAGGGGGTGAGAGGTGAGTGAAGTGGGTGAATTTTAATTCTATAAAAGGAAAAAAAAGAATAAAAATATTAGGAGGGAAATAGATGTGTGTGGATATTGTCCTAAGGACCAAGAAAAATTAAAACTACCATATACAATTAAATTCTGATTTAAAGTGTAAGGTAAGTTACTTTTCTTTTTAAAGACTGGCACCTGAGCTAACATTCTGTTGCCAATCTTTTTGTTTTTCCTCCTCCTTCTCCCCAAAGCCCCCCAGTACATAGTTGTATATTCTAGTTGTAGGTCCTTCTGCTTGTGCTATGTGGGATGCTGCCTCAGCATGGCCTGATGAGCGGTGCCATGTCCACACCCAGGACCCAAACCAGTGAAACCCTGGGCAGCCAAAGCAGAGTGTGCGAACTTAACCACTCAGCCACAGGGCTGGCCACATAAGATAAGTTCTTAAAATTGGAGACAGAGATAGCCATAAATTGAGTTACATTAAACATTTAAAAATTTAGTATAACAGAAATATTATAAACATAGACAAAGTTAAAAGACACGGACATAAATCAAAAGATATTTGTAATGCAGGTAACCTACAAGACATAAGAACTCTCAAGTATGAGAACAATGGAAACAAACTATGAGCAACCCAATAGAAAAATGGGCAAAAGAAATAGAGAATTCACAGAAGTAGAAACCGAGAAGTGTGAGGAACATAGAAAAGAAATCCCAAACTTCACCAGTAATCAGAGAAATGCAAATTAAAATGCTAATGTACTATCTCTTCATAATAATCAGATTGGAGAATTTTAAAAGTCTGAAAAGGAAAGGATTTGGAGAAATGAGAACTTTCATATGCCACTGGTGGAAATGTATACTGCTACAAGAGGGCAGAACTTTGGGAATACAATACTAATATGTAATAATTAAAGTAAATATTTAAAATAATTAATTCAAATAAATATATAATAAAGAGATCTTTTAAATATCTAAAGTAAGGTTATCAGTAGAAAAAGATTAAGCACAGAATGTTTTTATCTTACCAATAATTTTTTTAAGAGCATCTAATTCTTCTTGTTGCTTGTGATATGAGCTTTGCTGCAGCTTCGTTTGTAATAAATCTGCCTCCTCAGTCTTCATCTCCCACTGCTGTTTTAGTTGGCGATACCTTGGAAAAAGGCAAGTTTACAACAAATGACGACAATTTTTTTGATGTTTGAGACATGCATTCAACAGCTCCTCAAGACCAAATTAGATTAATAATATATAACAATATACAAAGTTCCAAAAATTTGGGTATTAATTGTCGCGTTCAAACATTAAATAATGTTCCCTACATTTTGTAATGAGACTGATGGTGTAATAAGGCACAGTACTGTACATAAACATTTGCAATGTACTTTTCTTGCAAACTCTAATTCTACCCCAGTTCTGGCTGCTTTCTTTCTTTGGAAGCTATTTGGCTAATTCAGCTGCAGTGAAATTTCAAGTTATAATAAATTCACAAGGCAGCTTGTCATTAGAAGTTCATGAGGTTTTTAAGAAAAAGGAAGCAACTTACAAAACATAAATACTCCCTTGAGTATTTTTGCCTGAGACTTGCTAGACAGCAATTAAAACCATAATTTTAACTTTTTAAGCCATTTTTTCAATTCATTTAAAAATGTGGAGAGCAGAAATCTGAAAAAAGATATAAGCTATTTTCCTGATGTGGTCTTTGAAAGAATAGCTTAGTTGACCCTTCCACTCTCACACTTTTCAAAATCGAATCTATTTCCTTTCCTTAACCTCAGTGCCCCAATTAGTCCACTAGACAATTCTACAAAATAAATGATCCAACACTGCTGAATGAAGTTAACAGTTATAAGCCAAATGTGACTACAAGCTCATTGCCTTGCCAGAGCTTCCACATATCGTGCAGAAATTTTGTTGCATCTTTCTCACATAAAAAGTTCATTCACTTTATGGTTAATTTATGTTAATGAAGGAAAAATGCAGGATTTACACGTATATGATGTTTGAAAGTGGACATTTTGATACAATTTATATCTTGGAATGGCCACTTCCACTGATTATGACAATCTTTCATATATATCATGTCCCAAAAAAGTCTTGGTACTATTCTAAGCTTTGATAATTTCAAAATATGAATGCTAAAAGTTTACCCCCCAAAAATTTTTCAAAGTTTTAGATTTTATCTTTATTCAGTGTTGTGAATTCTGAATAAAATAGTTTAGTTTTATCTCAGTTCCCATTTGCCAACCTCAGAGGGACTAGGAAAAATTACAATTAAAGTTTCAAATAATGTACTTTGTAAGTTTGTGGCATTTATACTCCTGAAGCTTTTGAAGCAAGTAAGGACTCTCTGGACAACCACATGGCAGGTTCACCCACACCCTTCAGGTGTCCTTTCAACAGGCATCTCCTCAGTGACACATCCCCGGCGCTCAATCTATAATTTCAACACCTCTGTGCCCTGGAGAACTTGTATCTCCTTTCCTGTTTTACTTTTTTCTTCTTAGAACTTAGTATTATCTGACATATGTTTTACCAATTTAACTTTCTTTATTATCTGTTTCCCCAACTATACATATGAGAACAAGATGAAAGAAGAGATTTGTCTGATTCACTGCTGTATTCCCAGCTCCTGGAAGAGTACCTGGTACCTAGGAGGCACTCAATAGTGAACAATGTTTAGTGACAAAAAGAGCTTGCATTAAATAGCATGGTCCAAAATTTGAAAAAATAAAAATATGTATATAGATGTATCACAAAGAAACAGAAGTAATGTTGAAAGGCACACTAACATACCTATATCTACACCCACTCTGTAAGGAAACACTATAATTTTAGCAATGACTTTCTGAATGAACTTGTTTAGCTCCTCCATAAGCAACCCAGTGATTTTCAATATCTATAGGACAGCCATAATGCTGCTAAATTTAGTGTAGACACCTGATCAGTGCTATACTGTATCTTACCATTTCAAATCAAGGACTCAAGCATCCTCTGGTATCAACCTCCAGAGTATCTAGAGTATCTATGGGTTTCCCCATCAATCCCAACAGAATCTTAACAGAGTATATCTCAGAAAAGAAAGGGGAATATTTTGCTGTTTTTCTTCTCCTTGTTTAATTGGCTTTTCCTAATTTCTTATAACAAAGACATTTTTATCAGAAAAAATGGATAACTGATAAACAAGTTATCAACTCATAATTTATTCAAATAAAACCAAAGACATTATGAAAAAAGTCAGAAGTTGCATTTCTTTAAATAAAAGTAGATTCTCTTTCATTTTTACTATGCAAATCTTCAACCAAAAAAATTTTAAAAATATAGCTTAATCCACAGAAGTCTTACTTTTCAGCAGTGTTTTTAAGACCTGCTAATTCCTCTTCTAGAGCCTGTAGCTCATTCTCCTTGGTTCTCAGCTCATCTTGAACATCTTTGAGTTCTTGAAACTTGTTTAAAATAGAAGCTGCCTGGGATCGAGCACCTGATAGAGGGAAATTGAAACAGGCCTTGGATATTAAGTGACCACATATTTAGTAAACAATAAAAAGTTTTCTAAGAGAATTATACTTGAAATGATTCAATAGCACATATTTTACAGTGAGATTATGAAGCTACAGATTTTATCATTTGACTCTTAGGACATACATACTTGGTAAGAAATACTTTTAAGTAGATGTGGTGGATAATTTATGCAAAATAATCACTGCCCCTGCCTAATGGGCCCATCCCTCCCAGGCCCTCTTTCCTCCCAACATTAGGCTTAGCCAGGTGATTTGCTCTGGCCAATGAAATGAGAAATGTGCCTCTTCGGGAAGTAAGCTTTAAGAGGCAGCACATGATTCCCCTTTTATTTTCCCTTTCCCATAAGAAAAGTTGTGTTCAAAACAGGGACTGTTTCTCCTTCAGCCTGGGTCCCAGAATGAGAATAACATGGAACAGAGACAAATGACCTATATAGTTCATGTAGCATAATTACAGAATAAATTTGTTGTAAGCCCCTGAGATTTCGGGGCTGTTTGTTACCACATCATAACCTGCTTAAGCTCTGATATAGCAGAGTCAGCAGAGTAAACTAGTTTCACTTTACAAGCACCTATAATTGTCTGGAAGTAACAGGGTGAGGTGTTACGTTGGAAGAAAACTTTATAGGTTTGATGGGAGAATACAAAGGTCAATTAGCAATGTTATTATGAACACTTTGTTAATATGATATGGGATTACATATTTGGCCATCCCTTAAGTAAGAACTTCAAGAACATTCAAATCAATGAAATCCAAACAGTTTCTTTTGTTTCACATATTTAAAAATACGTGGTCTCTCTTTAACTTCCAACTGTACATACTCGTATTCTTATTGTGTACTGAGGAACTTGGTACTTGATCATGGAGTTCATTTCATTGGTTAGTTTGCTTGGCTTAAAAGAAATTAAGTCATTTGCCATCTCAAAAGGCATTACACAGCTTCTTGGTTTGGTTGAAAGCACAAACTCTGAAATCAGACTATCTGAATTCAAATTCTGGGCTTGGCCACTTACCACCAAGTTATTTTAACCACTTTGTACCTTTGTTTCTACAACTACATATTGGATATGATAGAAATATGCCTACTTCCTAGCTGCTATAAGGATTAAATGAGTTAAATATTTAAAGCCCTTAGAATAGGGCTTTACAGAATTATAGAAATGTTCTATATCTGCATTGTCTAGTTACCCACTAACCATTTGTGGTTACTGAGCCCTTGAATGTGACTAGTGCAACTGAGGAAATTATTTTTACTTAATTTTAATTATCTTAATTAAATGTAAAGAGCCACATGCAGCAAGTGGCTACTGTATCGGGCAACACTGTCTTACAACATTGTCTGGTACACAAAGTGCTGTTCAGTGTTTGTTCTCACATGACCACTTGACACAGATGTGGAAACTCAATGTGGCAAATATGAGAATTTATGACTAACATTATAACGGTTATCTAGGAATTCCTTTCTTAAGGCATTAAAGCACCATCTCAAGGGCAGATTTAATTTTTTGTTTTACTTTTGACAGGAGCAGTGGCATATACACAAATTAGAAGTTAACATGTTTCCTGAAGGAGAAGTGAGTAGTTAAGCTAAAAATGTACTGAATAAAAAGACTTTATTTTCCAGTGACTAGTATATCTTGATAGGGCAAACAGCAAGAAGAAATAGACAAGAATAGACTTATCTGAGATGAATAAAAAAAGCTATAGGATTGATGACTAAGACTATGAGTTCCTTGAGAGCTATGACGTTGTATGATTTCTCAGTATTACTAAGTACCTGTCACATAGTAGGTATTCAAAAGAAAATTCAATCCTTAGATTAGGAATAAAACTCTGGATTAAGTTATTCCAACCCCACCATTTACTGTTTAAAAAAAAAAAACCCCATCCTATTTACCATACAGAATTGTGAGGACAAAATGATATAAAACCTACCTCCACTCAATGTCCCATGAGGATCAAATACTTCACCTCCTAGAGTTACAGTTCTAGTCATTATCCTTTTATCAAAGGCCACTTTTTTTGCATTATCCATATTGTCACAAACAAAAGTTGTTCCAAAGACAAATTCCATTGCTTTCTGAAGTTCTGGTTTGTATTCAACCAGGGAAAGAGCCACATGAACATTGTCGGGGCCGACCTGTGGGAAAACAACAGATATGTCATAATACAGAACTCCCTTCCTTTCAAACATTCTTTCATAAAATAGTAAGAACTGCTATAATAGAAATTTAAATAATACTTACTTAGCACTCTAATTCTTTTTGACTTTCTAAAATGCTATGGAAAACAACAGTTTTAGAAAGAAATAACTTCAAGTTTAAACACTAAAAGATCTACTGATAAGTAAAATATTAAAATATTTAGCTAAGTATTTGGCTAAAGTACTAGGCACTATGAGAGTTTCTATCACGCAGGAGCCACTACCAAGTTTCTAAATCCAAAATGGACTATCTGGACACACTTTCTTCATTAAAGTACAGCAATTACTGGATCAACACAATTACATAAAATATTTTGTTTCACTTATTAGTAATTTGGTTGTTCCACAGTGAATACTTTTTCATTCAAATTAAACTTGCTAAGGCAGCCACTTGCCAGTTACAGAAACAAAAACACAACTAATAATTGAGTTAAAAAAAAAAATCCCTCAGTCCTTTATTTTCATCCAACTGTCTCTTCTCAACCTCTGTTTATAATGTCTACCTCTGTCCATCTTTTCAGAACAACTAAGCATTCTTTATGGAGTTTAGTAGCAGCAGCAGCAATCACAATGAAGGCAGCTGTATGTAACATATGTTCAGTATCGTCCTCCAACAGCAGCTACCATTAACGGGTCTGGCTAAGGGATATGAGTGGAAGTACTTTTGCTGTTACTTAAAATCCCAATTTACTTTTAACACTGGGACTTGATCTAAGGCTGAAGTAACTTCCAAAGCATTCTAAGACCCAAAGGTGATTTTTCAAAGTAAAGGAAGTACCAACCAAAAATACCACCTTTCAATTACTCTGTACTCACCTTCCTTCTGATAGTATACGTATCAATACAACTGTACTTTGAAATAATTTTCATGGAAGGCTTCTCCATTTCAGCACGTACAGTGAATAGCCATATAGTATATTAATTAGAAATACATTTCTAGGTTCCACAGAGCTGTCTTTTCAACTTATGCACTTGGAATGCCTGCTCAATAACAAATTGACATCACTGCTGAACATTACGACTGGCTCCATGTTTTTACCCAGTATTACACCACCAAAATGGCCAGTGAAATGTATTTCCTTGTACTCATCTGTTTTTTAACTAGGAGCCATACCACTTTAGATCCACTTCAGCAGCTGACTGGGTATCCAGGTCACTTGCTTTGTACCTGTCCACAGGTTGGAAGGCAATCTAGAAGAACTCCAACAGACAAGCATCTCTACAAGATTGATGGCTGCCTTCCATAACAGTTGTTGCTGTGGACAGCTTAAGTGCGCCCGGCATGAAAAAAAACTGAAGAATTCTGGTATTTATCTATAAGCTATAGAATTCTAACTATCCAGAAACAGAAATTTAATATTTACTATCACCTTATAGTCATGTGATTTAAGATTTAAAGACAATCTAATATTCAACTTTGAAACATCAGAGGGAGTTTTAGTCTTCCAACATTTCTATTTTCTTTCCACCTCATTTCACAAAAGCCAACTCTATTTTTTGTATCTTAATTTTTTTTAAGCATGGTAACATAATAAAACTTTGTGGTTCTGCATATGATTATGTCCCCCAACATTAATGTCTTCTAATTTAAGAAAAGATGAAGGGGTTGGCCTGGTTGCACAGTGCTTAAGTTCACAGGCTCCGCTTGGTGGCCTGAGGTTTGAGGGTTCAGATCCCGGGTGCTACCTACACCACTCATCAAGCCATGCTGTCATGGCATCCCACACACAAAACAGACGAAGACTAGGACAGATGTTAGCTCAGATACAATCTTCCTCATCAAAAAAAAAAGATGCAGACAAAACATACAAATAAGACTTACAAGATTCTGAGCGACCCTCAGAGTTTCTGGAGCAATACATCTGGCTGAAATTTTATTGAGTGGAATTATGGTGTACCGACGCTTCAATTCCCCCTTTTCTAGTAGCTTTTTTCCAGTAACCTAAAACACGTATTTGAAATAAAAAAACATTATTAACGATGACGGAAAACATTCAAATGGAAAGAGTGCAAGTTTAGGAATCTATAATCAAATAAATGTCTAATGCCTACTAGCCCAAGCAATCACAAGTCTAAGATTGATAATATGCATTCTGGGCTCCTGAGTAATAAGCACGGCACTTCCTTCAGAATATAGTTACTCAAATATAATACAATCAATAATATAATAAAAAAGTCATTAACTGAATATTTTTACCCTGTAAAGACAAGCAAAGTGAACCTTAAAACATCAAGAAAATACCCAATTCTTCTAGCAGCAGATGAGTTTTCAAGCTAACCAGCAATTATAGATTTTCTCTAAAATCAATTTACCTCTGTGTCTACTACAACATTGTAGAGTCGTTCCCCAGCCACCAATTCCAAAGCTGTGGTTGCAGAAGCATCTTTCACACTAATCAGAGAAGCTACAAGTCCTTTCACACAATTTCTATTCCAGTTCTTCTCTGGATCCCTAAAATAGAAATGTTGACAAAAACTAATCTTAGATAAGAAAATAGAAAAAGTTGTACTTCACTAGTCAAGAGCTCTTTCTGATAACACATTAAATTGAGAGCAAAAGGATCATACAGTTTTAACAAAAATTTTTAAATGTCCCAAATGACTAGCCAGCTACTGTTTTTTAAATCAATCAAAAGATCTTTCAGCATATATCATGTTTTTAATGCAACAAAAACAACTTTGATGTTCTAATCTTTGTAATACATATATTATTGAAAGTATTTAATGAAAAACCTATGTAGTAAACAAATTATAAAAATGTTAATGTAGATATTTCACACTAATGATAGAATATAAAGAAACTTGGGACTGAGATAAAATTCCCCTTATTTTGGTCTTAAGATTAGTGGCATTACTAGCCATTAAACTTCACAAGAATGTCCCCTGGCAACATCTGAAACATTCAATAAATGTTTAAGGAAAAAATACCAATTAAGGAAAAGCAGCTTATAATAATTTTCATACAAAAATCTTAATGTCAATGAAATTTTCAAATTGCTTTCCAGCTTAAATAAAATATACCTTGGTTATTACTGTGTTAAAATTCAAGGTTTAAATCTCTGACCTGTAGGCAAATCGAAGATTGGGAAATCTGGCCAGGAGAGCTTCATAGGTTTCTTTCAATCTACTGATATCACGAGACAGCTGCCTGCGCTTTTCCAGAAGGTTTTCCTCTTTGTTTTCTGAACAGTAAATTGTAAGTAAACTGAAACCAAGTTCTAAAAACTCGTATGTTCTACTGTGGTAAGGAAAATATTAGTAACCTCTATTTCCAAAGCATTTCTAGAAGCAAAACTCAAATTTCTGATAAGGATTAAATAAAAGCACGCTTAACATTCAAATTTTAAGTGTTAAGTAGACATTATTTCCAAAAATAATACAATTTTCATCACAAGAAACAACTTATGAATTAAATGTCTACTAACGTAAAAATACACAAATAACATTTTTGAGTTTTTAAGTGGCACTTCAGAGTAACTGAAGCAGGAAATTCTCAGTACTGAGTTTTCAAAACTACAAACGGCTATTTTATATTTAGGTATTTCTGTGACTATATTTACAAACATTTCTCATACTAATTCCCATTAATAGGGAAGACATTTTTTGACTTGCTATTCCTTTAAGCTAGTTTCTATCAACAATCACTACCTCCTAATGATTTAATATCATGTCTTTAAAGGCAAACCTTCATAATTTAGCTTTTTCATTTCAGCTTCAAGTTTTTCTTTAAGTTTCTTCACAGCCTCTAAAGCTTCTTGATCCTTTCTGTAGCCACTATCCATCTTCTTAACTACAGCTTGTTTAGTTTTCAATTCCTGTTGGGCATGTTTCAACTTCATCTGAGCCTGTAACAGAAAAATGTAACAGACTGTACGAGGCAGATAGTGCTAGTGATTAAATGGCCACAGAGTCAGATTGGTTTAAGAAACATCAGCCTTGAAAATTTAACTGTTTGGTGATTTGAATTAATATCTCAACAGATCAATCATTTTCCAATATTTTCTCCTCAAAAAACTACTGAGTATAAATGTATGTTTAACATAAATCATTAAATAATTTGCAATTTAAGTTGATATTTTTAATACTTATAAAAATCACAACTCTAGTTTCCCTCCCTTCCACCTAGGTATCCATATTTGTATTTGTGTATATTTGTGAGTGTTGTCTAATTAACAGTGGAGAAGCTGTACTGAACAAGGGAAAATATATAAGAAACGGAAGCAAACTGACAGAGAAATTTAAATGTAAGGAGTCTGATTGAGGACTGGTCTTTAAAACCATGAACTACTATTCTAAGATCTAAACGGGTGTATCCTCCCTCTAAAACTGAGTAACGGTAGACCTTTCCCAATATAAAATAAGTTAACAGAAAAACTGAGAGGACTTTAAGTTTTCCTACTATTGATTTCTTATAATTTTTTTGTGACCATCATCTTTGAATAAAAAAATTGCAAATATATAATAGAAAACCTTGATAGGATCAATAGGCAGACACACACACGTCAGTATATAAAGATGAGTCCTCCATTAAAAAAATAAAGGAATGTGTGCGTACATGTCTTTTTTTTTCTTTCTGCTATCAAAACTCTTCGTTCATAAGACTTTAAGATGCACAACTATCTAAACAAATTTGAAAACCGTTATAACAGATTGACAAATCCTTGAAGATTATGAAATCACACTAGGGAAACCAAAGACTGGAATGGGGATAAATGGGAAGTAGAAAGAAGTCTAAGGAGGATGTTATAAAGTTTCACACACAGGTTTTAAGAACTAGGTGTGGTGGGCACAGACATGGACAAGTCATTTCTGGTTTCTTGTTCAAACTTAAGATTTCAACTTTATGATGTCAATAAAAACAGCAAAAAGATGAAAATAAATCGACTAACTTCAAATATTCCACACAAAGGAGTGAACAAAATAAAGCATTTATTGTCCTTACAATTTCAATTAACCTATAAACCTATTTCATGTTTTACAACATCTTATCATTAATATTTAGTAATCAACACATTTGAATTTTGTTGTACCAGGTGCTACAGAGTGGCAAAATAAATATTTTCAACACTTTATAACAAGTGCCAAAGCATAATGTGAAGCAGATTCTCAAAAAAACCCCACAAAAACAAACTGCAATCCTGTAGTGCTTAATGTCTATATTTACCTGTTTGGCCTCTGTCTGAGCTTTACTGATGTCATTTTTACAGGCCATCATTTGACCAGCAAGAGTTGCTTCTGCTCCATCTTCATTACTGGACAGGCCGGCAGAAACGGCATTGAAGTGCTGCTGTGCAGCAGCCAAAGCTTCAGCATCTTTATTACTGGCTTCTTGAAGGGCATTCAGTCCATCTGATATACTTTTAACCTCTTTTTCCTTTGCTGCTAACGTTTTAGAATCCTTTAGAAAGAGTTTCAGATTGAAAAGTATTATATTTTAGGAAAAACATCCATTTTCTTATACATATGTACCCTGATGTCATCAAATTTCACAGCAATTTGAAGTGGGCATGCGAATAAGGAAAGTAATTTTAACCATCATAACAGTAATTTTAACCATCATAATTTAAATAATTTATTCCCATTTTGAAATTCACTTTCCCTCAGTTTTTAGGATAAATGTGCCTCTTATCCTACTAGAAATACTTTCCTTTCATATGCTCTAGTCAAATCTGGGAGATAATGAGGTAAAAACATTACTGCAAATTTAAACAAACCACTTGAAGAAACTAAAAATCAGTTTCCAAATCTATAAAATTGAAATAATAGCTATCCTACATCAAGCTTAAAAGTAGAGATTTTATTAGGAGCAAGTATATGAAAATATTTTTATAAACTATTAAGGGCCATACAATTTGAGTATTAAATAACTGTGCAAACAGCATTACTAATATTTAACATCGGTTAAGTTATATTAACCAGATATCTAATACTATGCAAGACACCAGCATTGAAAAAAAATCTAGTTATATTGTTTGCATGAAAGTGATTAGAAATTTTGGCCCATTTGTTTAAATCATGATTCATTAAATACTTATTAGACTTTTACCATGTATCAGGCAAGTTCTAGACATTAAAAACAAAGGCTCCTCAGGGAGTCTATAGGCTAGGGTGGAAGACACAGTAAACAAAGTAAGGTAAAGGGACAGAAAGTGATATTTTAAGAACAACGATGAGGGAAGGCCTTTGTATGATGACAGTTTAAGCAGAAATCTAAATGAAATAAAAGGAGTGACCACGCTAATAGCAGGGGGACAGTATACTCAGCAAGCTCTGAGGAATGTGCTTGGGGGTTTAGAGAACTGTGGTTGGAGTACAGTGAGCAAGTGATAAAAGGAGCCAGGAGTCATATTACGTACGGTCTTGTAGGCCATGGTAAAGACTTTGGATTTCATTATACATAAAACCCCACAACTTCTCTCAAAACCCCCACTTCTACTTGATTTATCCAAGCGCTATCACCTAGACCAGCACCTACTGCCTGGATTCCCTGCTTCTTTCCTTTATCTTCATGGTTTATCCTCAAAACAGCAGGAACACTCTTATTAATACATAAAAAAATGTCACTCTTCTGCTCAACCAACTCCAGTGGCTTCTCATATCACTCAGAAAAAAGGTCAAAGTCCTTCATACGTCTTACAAAACCACACGTGATCCTACATCCCATGATCTTTCCGCATTCCCATGACTTAGTGCTAACCAGCCACAGCGATCCCGTTGCTTTTCTGATATCTTAGGCACTTGGGCAATTGCTGTTCTTCTGCCTGAAACATCTTCCATCACAGCCTCCCAAGTTATCTACATTGTTCTCTGACTGCCTTCGGGTCTTCAATGAAACATCACCCTCTAGATCAGATCTTCAATGGCTACCCAACTTAAAAATCCCAGCTGCACCCCTTTCCCCTATACTCCTAATCCTCTCCCCTGCTTTATTTTTTCTCCACATCAGTTAGCAGTAGATAACATGCCATATAATTCACTTATTTATTTTCTTTATCATCGATTTCCTCACTGGAATGAAGAACAAGCCACTTTGTCCCTTTCTGTCATTTTCTCCAGTGCTACACCCTCAGTCTAAAAAACTACACTTGGTCCATAACAGAGACTCAATAAATATAAACAGAATGAACAAATGTACACTAGTGGAATTAAAAGCTTTTTTGCTTACCTCGACCATATTTTTTTCCAGCTCTTTGCGTTTGTTCTCTTCACTTGCCAGATTTTTCTTCTTGAGATCAAAGGCACTTTGAGATTTAGTATTAACTCGCTGAGCTTCTGCAAGAGCATCTTCTAAAGATCGGAGTATACCTCCAATTTCCTACAGTCAAAGGCACCCAATTCAATCAATGTACTTAAAATATGTTCATGTTGCCATTTTCTTAGATGATTTCCAAATGGTTTACTTTTTATAAGCTATTTTATTATCATACTTTAACAAATCAATAAGGAAGAAAATGCCCAGTGAATCCTAAAGTTACTTATGTATTTTTTTCAGAGTATATTATCTATTCTTAAATATATGTCTGACCTTATCTTTTCTTTCCTCCAACTCTTCTATTTCATGACTAAGTGCTTTTATTTTTTTATCATTTTCAGACAATTCCTCTTGAAGCTTTACAATTTTATCCTGCATTTCTTTTAACTCCTCAGCTGAGCGTTCTTTGGTATCTTCAGCCAGCAAAAACTGATAAGCAATATATAAACGACTCAAATGTTCTATTTCCCTCATTACTTTTTGGTACTCCAAGTAGGAAGATCTTTCCTGAAAGAGAAATCACCAATAAAGTATAACTCAAAAGTCATATTTTTTAACAAATTTGGAAAGAATCAAACTGTAACAATATGCATAAAATTTCCCATTACATGATATAATTGATTTTGTCTTGGATTATGTGATCACAGATTATAAATTTTGGAAAACTTAAAATAACATTAGCACTCTGACTTTTTAAATATTATACCATCTCTAGGGAATCCTATTCCGCCTAATATATAATCAGGCACTTCGTATGAACAAAGAAATGCAGACATAAGGTTCACAGACTCACGATAGTAAGAAGTCTACAAATACCACCTACACAACCACCAAGGATATACTATTAAATGTATTAAATGTATCTTGTAGTAGTATTACCAAGACGCCCAACCAACATTCATTTATATAACTATTTACACAAGCATTAAAGTTTACACGTTATTAAAGTTGATTTCCGTAAGGACCTGCTGGGGCAGATAATGTGACAATTAAAGTTCCTAAGCTGCAGATGAAGAAATAATTCAGAGTGATTAAATGACCTCTCCATGTTGTCAGATTTACAAAGAATTTGGCAAAATCTGGAATGAAACCTAGGTTTAAACTCATAAGCTAGCGTTTTCTACTAAAACATGCATACAAAGGGGATACCTTCAAGATAACAATTTTTTAGTTTTTTTCAATAACTTCTACACTATATGGATTCAGAAGACAGCTTTGAGAAGTATAAATTTTAATGAGCATTTAATATTTTCCTAAATGTATAACCTTAAAAACAATATGCTATAAATGCAATCTTTCAGTGAAATATTGATTATGACGTCAGAAGCCACAAAGATCAGTCTTCTGTTTTAATACCTTTCACTCACTAATTGTCTTGACAGCAGTAATTGTAGTGACAGCCCCTATTATCCTAGAAGTTAATCACTCTACAACAGTTATCAAGAGTGCCCTATCTTTAGGAAATGGTGTTCCACTCAATTCTAATTACCTAGGAAAATCTAGATTTCTCCTCAAGGAAGTATTAAAGTCTGGCATATCACCCTCTGAGATTAAGAGCAATGTCCACAGTCATTATGACTTAAGAGACAGGAAGCACAAGTCCTCTACAAGCAGAGCGGAGTATGGAGTACCAATTCTAACTCCTTGTCTCAGCCCAGAGAAAAATCCCTGAGAAGTGGTACACATTTCACCCCTATGTATGACCTTGAATACATCACCAATTTTGAGAGACACTGTAGCTGGCTGTCCTCACATATATAGCATATACCTCTTTTAATTTTTGAATGGTTGGTGTAATCTCTTCTTCAAGTATCTGGAAAAGAAAGGAAAATCGAATTTTTCAGTATGTGAAGTACCATTAAGAAAAATTCTTAAAGAAGCAGCATGGAAGACTAAGGAAAACTGAACCGGGGTTGGAGGGGGGGGGACGATTTCCCTCTTTACTGCAGAGGAACTCTAAATGCAAAATTACTCTCTTCTCTAAAAATGTTTTATATAAATTCAATTACCGTCTTAATTTCTTTGAGCTTAGCCTCCTTTTTTTCTATAGTTTTCTGGGCAGCTATTTTTTTGTATTCATACATCCTGGTTCCAGCTGCTTCTTCTATCATGGACAAAATCTGCAAAGACATTATGTTAATGTTTTAAGAATCCAATTCGATGAATCTCACTGGAATTTACATTAAGTATATCATTTAAGGCCTTGACCTCACTAAGCATCTTACCAAAATAATGGTCCAAATGGAACACAAAAGTACAGTACATAAAAATGCACATATTATTCATAACTCTAACATTCAAAAAACATTTCTGGCCTTCACTTCAATTCTAAAATCAAACTTTATGCTACACTGAGGTTCTAGAGTACATCTCTTTTTAAAGCTAAAACCAGTAATTCCTCCCTTCTCTTTTCCTTCAAATACAAGTCTAAAAAATGTAAAGGCTAACATCATTTCAGAAGTTTCTACTTAACATTGTTCCAAGTGAAACTTCAGCCATTTTGTGCCTACAAGGATGAAGCATGGCATAACATTTTGCATCCCAACTGTGGCACATGCTTTAAGAAATTGGGCAAGTAACTTAATTTTCTCTGTGCCTGTTTCTTCATCTAGAGTACTGATAAGACGCTGAGAATTAAACAAAATAATCCATGTGAAAAGCACTCTGCAAAATGCAAACACTAATCAATTATAATTTTATAAGAACAATTTTGCCAGCACTCCTTTTCCAGAAGCTTCTACTCACCATCAGTCACTATCCCAAGAGGATTATTTCTCCGGAAATCACTTTGATTTCTATGTATTTGGCAGGTTTCCAATTACAAATTTCCTCTTTAGATGTTATTTAAAGAAAATAAGCATGACCTATGTTCAAATTAGATTGGTACTGTCAATTATCAGCCTTCTTATTAGCTATTCTCAGTAGAAAGGAATAACTAAAGAGTTTTCTTCTTGTACAAAACATTCATTCCTTCATACTAACTCTTCTCAAGGGGGCTCCAAGAGAAAATTAAGTCTTAATACACCCTAAGTAATCCTTTGTATGTAATGAACTAAAATCCTTTTCTGTAGAGTTTTTCTGTAGGGTTTAACTCTGACATGGAGCACCAGTTGAGAAAGGCTGTTTTATACAGTCAAAATTTCTTTTAATATTGGGCACATAAAACTCCAAAAAAAAAAAAAACCAAAGTGGTAAGTTCCTTGACAACCGTCTTGGCAACAATTTTTTGGATTTGACACCAAAAGCAGACAAACAAGTGGGACTATGTCAAACTAAAAAGCTTGTGCACAGCAAAGAAACAATTAAAAAAAATGAAAAGGCAACCTACAGAATGAGAGAAAATATTTGTAAATCATGTGATAAGGGGTTAATATCCAAATTCATAAAGAACTCATATTACTCAATAGAAAAATAGTCCATTTCCAAAATGGGAAGAGGATGTGAATACACATTTCTCCACAGAAGACATACAGATGGCCAAGAGGTACACGAAAAGGTGCTCAACATCACTAATCATCAGGGAAATGCAAATCAGAAGCACAATGAGATATTACCTCTGTTAGAATAGCTATTATCAAAAAGACAAGTAAGGGTTGGTGAGATATGGAGAAAAGGGAACTTTCATGAACTCTTCATGGGATCATAAATGGAAAATAGTATGGAGGTTCCTCAAAAAATTAAAAATACAACTACCATATGATCCAGCAATTCCACTTCTGAACATGTATCTAAAGAAAACAGACACTAACTTGAAAAGATAGCTGCACCCCCACGTTCACTGCAGCATTATTTACAACAGTCAAGTCATGGAAATAGCCTAAGTGTCCACTGATGGATGAATGGATAAAGAAATTGTGGTATTGTATATAATGGAATATTATTCAGGCATAATAAAGGAGGAAATCCTGCCATTTGCAACAACATGGACGGACCCCGAAAGCATCATGCTAAGTGAAATAAGTCAGACAGAGAAAGACAAATATAATTTCACATATGATCTCACTTATATACGAAATCTAAAAAAACACACAAAACAAAATTGAACTCATAGATACAGAGAACTGATTGGTGGTTGCCAGAAGTAGGGGATGGGTGGTGGGCAAAATGGGTGCAGGTGGTCCAAAGATACAAACTTCCAGTTATAAAAATAAAAAATTCTGGGGATGTAATGTACAGCATGGTGACTATTGTTAATAATATTGTATGGTATAATTTGAAAGTTGCTAAGAGTAAATCTTAAAAGTTCTCATCACAAGGAAAAAAGTTTCTAACTGTGTGGTGATAGATGTTAACTAGATTTATTGTGGTGACCATTTTGCAATATATACACATATTAAATCATTATGTTGTACATCTGAAACTAAAGTCAATTATATCTCAATTTAAAAAAATTATTAGAAAGAACTGCTTAGCAACGTCCCATGCCCTTTCTTATACATATTTAATCCTCAGAACAGACCTAAGATTATTGACTCCAATTTATGGATGAAGAAACTAAGGCTCAGAAGGGTCATGTTACATAACTAAAAATATATACAACATATGTATTGGGCACAGTGCCAATATTTAAAAGAAAACTTTCTTTACTAATCATTCTTAAATACATGTTTCCAAGAATTTTAATAATAGAAGAAATTACGTTAAAAAATTGATCACCTAGAAGATTAAAACAAAATCTATAATAACTATTTTTACCGTCCATAAATAGTACTCTTACCTCTGGAGGTTTCATATTCAATACTTTTGTAATTCGGCCCTGAAAATAAAATGGCAAACTTACTAAAATGATAACAAACTACAAAAAGGGTAACCTAAAGGCATGTATATTTATCTGCACTGAAGCTGTTACATGAAAAGATGTTTCTTTTATTAGATTTGAGACCAAAAGTACCTTATAATTCTAGAACTTCGCTATTCACTTTCTCACTTACCAGTGATACAATTTACACTGGTATTAACTAGTAATAACTACTAAATGGTACAAAGTTAACTCAGATCATACATATTTCTGAGACAGTTAATACTAATGATGTAGAAGTCTCCACTTCTAACACAGAAAAGTATAGAAATAAATTTATTGAACATTTCTTGATTTTTTTGAAGGAATAGCCCTCCAAGATAATTTCTAGAAATAGACTACATACTTCTAGGCCTCAAACAGAATAGTAAAATGTTTTATTTCAATGCCAGAAAATCATCAGATTCATTTAGTACCAAAAAAACAGACAAAACCAAAAAAAGAAACCACCTGCTACCCAACTCTGAGAGAATCATATTAACTTAAAATTTACATCCATTTGAAGCAAATTTTCACTTGAGGCTGTGATGTAGTGAAAATAACTGTATTTTGGTCCCATCAGGATTCTGCCATTGACCTGGCTATGACTTTCTCAAAGGATAGACGGATGGGTCAAACGAGATAATGTAAGGGAAAGATAACCTTAGCCTTATTTTCCATTTGAGTAAGTCTCTAAAGAAGGAAACTATTTTAAAATTTAATATATATTTGAAACAATAAAATGCTTTATTCCAACACATTAAACAGATATATTACACAATATTTTAAAAATTTTTTTACAGTGAGCATGTACTGTTCTTGTAGTAACAACATGAAAGTCAAGGAAAATTACTTCTGGATAGTCTTCAAAATTCAAAGGTATACAGTGTTAGAACACATCAGTACAAATAACTAACCCGCATTTCTTAACAGGTGCCCAAACAACAACATAATAGTAGATTAAAAAAATGGGAAATCCAAAAAGAAACATTTCTCCTACTTAGTTATAAAAGATTAACTTAAAAAATAAAAGATGTCAAAACCATCATGAAAGAGATTAAAGACCACAAACAAAATACCTGCATGATGAGAAAGTGAGGGTTGTTGACATTAAGGCCAACGGAACAGAAGAGATCCTGTACTCTGGTATTGTTTGCATTCACTCCATTGATTAAATATTTATTTCTGCCACCAATAACCACCTAAAAAGGGAAGCATTTTAAAAGATGTAAGTGAACACACATCTTGAGCTAAGACGATAAATTCCCAAATATATTATCTTTCCTTTGTTTTTTCTGTAACTAACGGTAAACAAAACTAATTCTGAATAATAGTGGAGGAAGTGTGACATGGTCAAAAAGAATACAAGATTGAGTGAGGACAACTGGCTTCTAATCCAGGGAGTTTGCTAACGTACAAGCCTCCTAACTGCCCCTGCCTCAGATGAGGTCTCTACGGTCACTTCTAGCTTTATGTTTCCAAGTATGTGTAAAACATATCTTCTAGCCCTGATCACCCTCTTTCTGATTTTTCCACACCCAGAGTGTAACCCTTCTTCCTCCACTTTTTAATTTCCAAAGGAACAAAAGTCAGATACTTAAAACTAAACACAAGTAGTTTCATATCAATCCTAGACAAGAACTGATAAAGACATGACTTGTGAATACATGAAAGACAAGAGGACTCATGGAGCTTCAGCACAGGGTTCATTAAGTACAACTTAGACCAGACGTCAGCTAGCTCATCCTCTACGACAGCACTTACATTGTCATTGATCAGGAACGACTGTCTCACTTATCATATTGTGAGGTCCTTAAAGACAAGATCTGTTCCTCATTTTTTTTCTATCTGTACTTCCCAGTGCACTCAAGACTGCCCAGTACACATCAAGCACTTAATAAATACTGAGGAAATGTTAATTCATTTCTTTTCCTGACAGGATTAGGCTGGTGGATCATATATTAACATATTTGAATAGACCTATTATACCCATAAGTAACTTGACAAAGCCTTTATAAGAAAATTCCGTTGGGGGCCAGCCCCATGGCTGAGTGGTTAAGTTTGTGCCCTGTGCTTTGGGGTTTTGCTGGTTCGGATCCTGGGCGGGGACATGGCACTGCTCATCAGGCCACATTGAGGCAGCGTCCCACGTGCCACAACTAGAATATACAACTATGTACTGGGGGGATTTGGGGAGAAAAAAGCAGAAAGAAAGAAAAAAAAAAGATTGACAACAGTTGTTAGCTCAGGTGCCGATCTCTTAAAAAAAAAAGAAAGAGAAAATTCCGCTGAAGCTACAGGCATGTGGACTGCATGCGGACAGGAATTTCAGGTGAATCAGTAGCAGACTCACTGAAAATCCCTAAAGGGGAATTATTTGATGGATGCTTAACGAGAAAGAATAGGATTCTGTCCCAAGCTGGTGAACACTTTTCTTTTTACCAGAGGCTTTCATTAAAAAAGAGAGAAAAATATGAGTTACATAATGCTAAGAAGGAGAGTAAATGGGAGCTAAAAGAATGTTTAAAAATAAAACTGACAAACTAAAAACATTGACTATAATTCAAAACAAAGATTTTAAGGGACAAATACAAGGTCCTGCAATGGTTTCAAAAATCTGTTTACATACAGAAATGGCAGTAACATAACACATGAAAAAAATTAGAGTGATTTTAAGTAAATCAGATATGATATATCATAATGTATTATGAACTCTCCAATGTCATATTGGGAAAAACTGAAGTAGAGTACTTAAATGAAAGAAGTGACAATTCTGCTTAATTTGACCAATTCTGGTATATGTATTTTGAGGTGCCATGCATTAAAACAAAAAGATATAAAGACCTGAAAGCAAATTCGTGTTCAGCGTGATTAGACAAGCGAAGGAACTAGAAACAACTAAGTATCAACTGAAACGCCGAGAGAGATTTAGCACTGAAACAGTTTGACTTACAGAACACTTCACTATTGAATTATGGTGTAAATTACACTTGCTCTTGGTGCTCTCAAGAGAACCACGATTAATGCGGAAAACTAGAAGACAGCACTTCGGCTCCATTTATAGGAATAACTTTCTAATTAGACTTGTCCAAAACCAGAAGGGGTTACCTCAGAAGACAGCAAAATTAAAAGTACTATAGGTGTTCCAGCACAGAAAGAGAAGATTCAGGTAGGGTTCAAGAGTTAAGCACTGTTGAGTACTTATACAGATGGATGACTTTTCAGATCCCTTTCAATCTTTTTGGTAAATGATGGAATCGCTCAATCAAAATTTTAACATAAAGGGGATATTCTTAAGGAATCTAGTCAGTATTTGATGCATCAATTTTACTACAAAGTTTCTCTCTCCAGCAAAGTTATAGCGCCAAAACACACAACAGACATGCAAGTTGTCAGGTATGCAAATACTGAGCAGCCACTCACCTGCCTTGTTACTGTAATTTCATCATGAACCTCAAATCCTAAAGGACTCTGCTTTTTGTCCGAATTATCAAAGGTGATCGACACTGAGGCTTTGGTAATACCAGCCTGACCATTTTTGTAAACTAAATCTTGTAAATTAGAAGCCCGAACCTAAAATAAAATAAAAGTTTATCAATTACAAAACCCCATATTGCACAAAATGGCACTAAAAGTAGGTTTCTTGCTATTGGAAAACTACCCATGCAGTATCCATTAAGTAGCCAAGGAGAGGCAGTCACATTCACAGGCAATGAAAGCAAGGAAAACGGGCAACAACCTGAAATGGGTGCCTTTCTCCACAGGACTTTTTCAACCCTGAATTGAATTGTTTTCCACTCACTTCTCAACAAAAGTTCATTTGAAAGATTTAAAGGAAAACAGTGTCTAAGAATTTCACTATTCATCCAACCCCATTAGTAGATCCTGAAAAGGCACCATAATGCAGCAGGGGGAATCCAGACTCTGGAATGGACTGGCTTAAAGCAACAATGCCTAAGTTTCAATGTTGTTCCAAACATCTTAAGAGGATGAACTTTGGGCAACCCCTCTAAGTTTCTATTTTCTCACCTAAAAAGTGAGGTAATAATATCTACCTTTAAAGGAGTGTGGTGAGATATAAAATAATTGATATAAAGTAAAAAATGCACATGAAGAGAATATTGGCAACAGTTTCCAAGTTCAATGACGATTCCCTTGAGGTTCCCCAAACTTAAATTCACATAAATCAGAAAGTTTACACTTTACCTGAGACAGGTTGGAGATACCCAGCAAAAAGCAGATGGAGTCCAATATGTTGGACTTCCCGCTACCATTCAAACCAGTGATAGCATTGAAGAGGGGGTCAAAACCATTGACTTCAGTCCTCTGAGCATAGGACTTGAATCCTTCCAGAACGATTGACTTAATATGCATTTTCACTACCGACTTGGACAGGAAAACCTCTGCTAGAAACCAAACAGTCCACAAAGTAGTTCTGTACAAAACAGAAATAACACCACATAAGTGGAATGTAACGTTGGAATTACAGTGAATGTGAAAAACTAAAACATTTAAGAATAACAGCTCAATAGAAATAAAACAGCCACTTGCCAAGTTATTCCTTCTCATGTAGATGTCTTTCTCTAACTTAAAAACGTACCAAGAGTTAGTCACCATCTGGAAGTTAACTAAACCGTTAGTTCTACCTGGAAGCCAATTACTTACTTTCCAGGATTTCCTTCCATCATTATCACACTCTAGCTCACAAAGACTACTGATTATTTCACATCCCATTCCCTTTGCCTACAATGTCCTTCTCCCTGACACTGTCGTGGCTTATTCCTCTTTACTACACTCACGTCTCTGCTCAAATGTCACCCTACTGAGGTCCTTCCTGACTTCCTATATGATAAAGCACCGTTACCCATCCTTTCACTCCGCTTCTTTTTTCTCTCATTGCACTTAAAGCTGACACTAAACAGTACTTATTCGTCTATCCAACCCTACGTCCACCGCTGTATGCCCGAACAGTGCCTGACTCAAAAGCACACGGGGCGAGAGGGTCAGCAAATACTTATCAAATACACGACTTTCATATACTCTCCAGCCTCTTGCTTTCACTCAGGCTGTTCCCTCGCCTCACCAGGCCTTTCTGTCAACACCTCCTCGCCCTACTCCAAGGCTGGATAGGAAGTAGCGATTCTGCTAGAAACTCTTTAGAACGAATTTCGGTCTGAAGTTCTTTCTTGCTACTCGTTCCCCCACCCGCATGCCCCCATCTCCCGCCAGGAATGCCCGGCTAGGCCCAACCGGCGCGCGCACGCACCCGCCTCACCGCTGCGTCGGGCTGTCTAGGCTCGGGGCGCCCGCAAACCCCTTGCTGGTCACAAACGCGCAGAGCGGGCCAACTTTGCCCGGTTTCGAGGGCTAGGACGCAAGCTCCTCCATAGCGGCTGCAACACTGACCCCGCGCTCGGAACCGGGACCGGAACTATTTATATCTTTGAATTTCGGCGCGAGCAAAGGACCCCACTTCCACTGCCTATTTCATTGGCTGGTGCCTAGGAAATGCCTGACTTAGGGGTTCCACTTTTCTTTCCCATCGGACAATCAAAGTGATAGGGAGATAGGAAGGAGGGTCGCGACAATGACAGCTCCAGCGATGCGACGGTTCGGGCCCGAGGACTACAGGAGCAGGCGGCATACGTTGAGATCGGCGTCCGGCACGCTTCGGGCAGCCCCGCACCTCAGCTTCGGGGCCTTGCGCTTCGGCGGCCCCGCCCCTCCCTGGGCCCCGTCCGGCGGCGGGCGGTGTCCTGGAGACCCCGCCTTCTCGCGGGCGGGCGGGATTCGCCGGTACACAGTGCTGTGGTCTCAGAGCGGCGGCGGTCGGGCGGGAGGGTGGAGCGACTCCTGGTGCCCTCCTCTTGATTCAGGAGCCCCGGAGTCTCCCCGGTTGGCTCAGATTCCTCAAAAGTGGAAGCTGCACTTTGTTGGGTCTGGGGAGGCGCCGGCCTTCGAAGGACTCCGGTCGCGTTCTGGCTCCGCCCGTCCGGCTTCGGAGTGTGGCGGGCTTTTCTCTTGCTGTCGGAGGGGACTGCTGTCTTCGCTGCCGAGGGCCGTGCTGAGCCCCGGGGAGAAAGTGTGCGGGGAGGGGACCACGGCTGGACCAACAGGTGTTCCTCTCCTTATCCTGAAAAGCTGTGTAAGGATAACAATGGCAGAACGAACATTCCAGAGAACTTTTTTGGAAACACCTTACGACAACTACTGTTGAGGCCAGTGTGCCTCAATTCCAAGGGCTTTTTTAAAATTCTCGTAGCAGCCCGATGAAATCCGTGATACCGTTTTCATTTTCACAGATGAGCAAACTGAGTCACAGAAAAGTTAGCAACTTCTAAGTAGTAAGTGGAGAAGGTTGGATTTGTTCCCAAGCGGTCTAGCTGCAGAGTGCGTACTGGTAAATATTTTATAATACTCCTCTTCGTGTACAGAATCCAGTACTAGTAACAGATCCTGTTATTAGAGTGTATTGTTCTCTCCTGAAAAAAAAAGCTGGTCAGTTTACTCACAGTTGAGCACATTGGTACTAATGAGTTAGGAAGAGCTTGGCGTCAGAGTGCCCTGTGGAGCTGTCAGAGGTTACATATGAAAAGATAGTGCGGCCAGCGTCCTAAATGACCATGTATTTAAAGTTGCTTTCCTGGCATCGGAATGGCTTTGCAGTTATTCGGCACACCAGTATTAAACTACCAAGGATGGGCCTATGTTTTAAAATTCTTTCTCTGCTTAAGAGAGTAAAATGAGTTTTGTGGGGGTTTTTTGTTTAAGAAAGAATTCATTTATTTAGTCTCATATCCCACCCCTTCTGTAATGTCAGTCATTACAGGCCTAACATCAATTTAGTTAAGCAGTTAAATTTGTCTACCTTGATTCCTGCATTCCCTACACTCCACAGCTCTTCACTTATATTGATTCTATTCAATCTTAATACATTTATTTTCAGCTATGTCCCTTTGATTTCATTCCTGAATAAAAAATTTTTATTTGCCAACAACCTCTAATGTGGATTTTATCGACTTGTGAGATAAACAGTTCTTTGGGGTGAAAATATAAGTGTTAAGACAGACATTATTAGCCTTTGTGCTTATTTAATGGATTAATAATTAGTAGATATATTTAACAAAAATGGATGAAAACATACGCAAATGCACTTTTGCTAGATAAGAACTTCAGGGAAGTTATAAGAATATACACATCTAACCGGTCCACTAAAAGTATTTATTAAAATGAAGTTTGCTTTTAAAAGAGAGATCTGTATCAGTTTTCACCTTTGTGCAGGCCAGAGACACTAAGGAATTTCTGTTAGCATGGGTGGTCTTGAGGAAATCACTAATGGCTGACTTACAGCTCTGCCTCGTGAGATCACCACAGGGAAGTGGAGAAGACTGAGGCACAAAGACCCCCCATAATTTGGAGAGATGAGGACTGAAGTAAAGTTAGAGTATAGGGTAGATGTGTTATAAAGTACTGTTCTTGTTTTATCACCATAGATCAAAGGCTTTAGAAAGCTTCAACTGTGGCAGGCTAGTGGAGTCTTAGTCCATGTGTGAAAGGCAGCAGTACCAGCAAGGAAGCCAGAAAGATTTGGTCTTATAACTCTTCCAGGCCATTGGGAGGGAACCTCTTTCCCTGGTGCACTTCCCTAATTTTGGAGTCCTAAAGGAGCTCTTCTAGGGAGCTGGGTGAATCCTCTCTCCCTGGAACCTAGAACGGAAGAAAAAATGAAAGACTTTACCTTCACTGCAGAAATAAGGAAAGGTTGATTCATTTTGTTGAGAGATTAATTTTGGCTATTTGCAGGGGATGAATTGATAATGACAGGAAGTTCATATTGTAAAATTGTAGTGAGTAGCAGCACATTTTGAATACACCAAGTGTAACCTGTCTGGCAAACTTGGAAAGAAAGACAGCTGAGCATAATTGAAAATGAGGAATAGAAAAGGTCATGATTATATTCATTCACCTATGAGATCTGGTTAGCCCCATTCATTTTCATTCCAATGACAATGCTGTTTTCAGTATTACGTGTTCTGTTTGGTTTGTGAAATCTGCCTATTCTTTCACTATGATTTCTATTATTTTGTCTCTTTAATCAAGTTAAATAAATTTATGTTATCTTCTCTTTCAGGTACTTCTGTGATTTCCAGCTTTTGAGTTCCTAATTCTACATGTGCTAATTACAACATGTGCTGGCTCTTACCCATAGTGATTTCTTTCTGCCTGTGGTGCTGTTGTGGGATGAGGTTCATTTGTTTATGGGCGTCTCTTATGCCCTGAATTGTGAAAGAGTCCCTTCAGAGTAGTTATGTATTTCCTTCTGCCAGAGTTCTTTGGCTCTTAAATATCCTGGAGCATTTGTAAATGATTATTTCTCAGTTTGTGGTTCCTGGATTATGCAGATGTTATAAATTTATATCAGTTGCAGGCCTGAGGTTTTGATTTCTCACAGGTACCTTTTGTTTTTCCCCTTATCCAAAGCCCCAGGCAAAAAAATAAACTTATTTGCCTCTTCCCCAGACTAGGAGGTAGTTTTTCCTGTCCTAGTGACTGGCAGTTCTTTAAGGCTCCAGATTTGACCTAAGGGCCTTGTTCCAACACCTCTGCATCACTGAAGCTCAAGGCCTTGTGCTGGTGCATTAAAACCCAGATACCGCCTCCTGAGTCCTACAGCCAAGTATAAAGTGTTGGAGGGCTGCCTTGGCATCAGTTCCTGTCCTTCAAATTTTCCATTTGTTTCTGGCACTGAGAATTTCCTGTTTGTTGTTTTTTGTTATTGAGTTTGGTATGTGGTTTCTATAACAATAGTGACATTTTACCCAGTACTTCTGTGAGTCTATGAAAGGAAGTTGAGTCAACCACGTTGGAGGGGGTCTTCTCATTTACTTTTCACGAAGAACATCAGTGATATTTGTTTTGCTCCTGCCAAGCCTTGCTTTCAGATTCTCACATTCCACATTCAAAGTAGCTTTTCCTAAAAAAAAATAAATAAATAAACAAAAAAAGAAGTCTAGTACCAGCTCTTAAGAAAAGATTTTCACTCACTACTCATAAAATCCAGTCTCTTCTTACTTATTTCATGTTTGCTCCTCCAGTTTCTCCAGCTCTCCTTGGTTTTTTATCACTTCCATGGAGGTTTATAGCCAAAGCTGCTCGTCTCATCTCTCTTCTGCGTTGCCACATCCCTTCCTTTACAGGATGATTGTTGGCTCCTCTTTCTCAATGTTATTCTCATTTTATTGTTCTCACTCTGTCATAGTGGTCCCTTATTATTTTTTATTTCGGATCCATACTCATGTGCTTGATCTTCCTCCAATTTATTCCCTTTTGTTACCAACTCAGTTCTTTCTAGATCCACATAGAGTCTGCGCTCAGATTTTCTTTTCCACAAAATCTGCCTCTTCCGTAATTAACGTTTCCTCTACCTGTTATATCATTCTGGAGTCCTCCAGTCACAAGTATTTCCTCTTTAAGTTCTGACTTAAATTCCTACTTCAACAATACTTACTCCAGTCTCTGTCCTGTCTAAAGTTCTACAAAATACGTGTTTCTATATCAGAAATACGATATCCCTCTACTCTGCATAAACCCTTGTGAAAATTGCCTACAGAATTAATCCTGACCTCTTTAAAGTGGCATGCCTGGCATTTCGTAATTTATTCTCAATCTGCTTTCCTAGACTCATCTCCTACTGTTTCTTCCTAGATTACCAGGTCTTTTTTTATTCACTACTGTGAACCTAGCACCAACCAATAACAAAAATAAAGTTAGATAACTTTGTTAATGAATAGATGAATGAATGAATGAATTTAATAGGTACTTATAAAATGTATATCGTATGCTAAGAATTGTATTAGATGAATAAGATGTGGATTTGTCCCCAAGGAGTCCGTAATTGAGTGGAGGTATCATGTATAAAGACAGAACCAGAGGGAGAGAAGAGTGAAAGACGTTATAAATAGAGTAGATTGCACAGGCAAGGGCATAGACAATAAACTTAGTGTATGAGGCGAGAAATAGCAAGATTTAGTGTAGGAGATGCACAGAAGCCAGATTATGGAGCATTTTATGTGCCATCTTAAACAACTTTGTGTCATTCCTGAAATATTGATGTTCTCTTCCCCATCTCTGTGTCTTTGCACATGCTGAACTTGAAATGCTCTTCTCCTCTCCATGTCTACCTGCATGTGAATTTCTATTTATATTTCAAACTCAAAATCTGATCCATTTTTGGATTAATTGTTTGCAAGTTCTTCTGTAGTCCCTTAACCCTTTAACCAAACTTTTCTTCTGACGTCTGTTCCTACTGTGACGTACCTCATTACCTAGCACATGGTAGACAATAAATATTGCTTGAATGTAAATAAGTTTAGGGGGTTCATTTGCTGCTTTCTGATTAAGGTAAAGGGCAAGAATAGAATTTTAAAAAGACTTGAAAAATGCTGAGGAT